GTGCGGGCCATTCTGGCGGCGCACGAGCGCACAACCGAGTATTCCGGCGCGTCCTCCAGACTGGTAACGGCCATCACCCGCCGTACCCTGCCCTCACCGCCGCTTGATCTCGCAGCCTTGGCCCGTACCGACTCCAGGTGCGCGATCACGGCGTGCACCACCCTGCAGTCGTTGGTGATGAACCCCCGGAACTGCTTGCCGGGAGACGATATGCCGCCAACGCCGAACATCTTTTCCGGCGAGGTCTCCCATCCCACAAACGCGATTGGCGTGGGATGCGACGAGACCAGGAACCACTGGTTTTCCAGTGCCCGCGTATGTCGCGCCACTGGCGTCCACACTCCCTCCAGGCCCTCGGGCGGCTCCTCCAGCGGGCATTGCCCGAACGCCGCCAGCTTGACCCCCGACTCCACCAGCTCTCGATAGCGGTTTGCCTCCTCGATCAGCCGGTCGGAAGTCTGGAACCCCACGTACAGGTCGGCGTCCTGCGGGCTGTCTTGAACCTCGCGCTCGATCTCTCGGCTGAAGCTCAGCATCTCCGAAAGCGTCTCTGAGAAACCGGAACCCCTCTATAGGTGTCCCGCCACACCGCAATTCCTTCTCCATCCGCTCTATCAGCCCCTGGACGCCGCTGAAGTCCCGCAGCAGAATATCGTTATCGTTAATCGTCCACTCCATGGTTCGCACCCCCTCGATTTCAGCCAGTACTCAAATACCAACTATCAATAATTAATATATTACATCGCAATCACTGATATCAACAGCAATTAATATATAGAATATCTATACATCGTATGGAGAAAGTGTGAATACCTGCGGCGAGCGAAGACGCGCGCCCACCACCGACGGGGCACCGGCAACTAACCGGCAACTAGGAGGAACGATCAGCTGCTCCTGTCCGCGGGCTGACGACTCAGCCCCGGTTCGACAGGAGCGGCGGGTCGCCGCAACGACGACCGAAGAGTGTCCGGCCTAGACCGTCGGCTCCCCCAGCCCGCCGTACTCGGCAGCGACGGCCTCGTCCTCCCCCGGCCACGGCGGCGTTGTGTGGCACAAGAAGCGCAGCGCCCCGTCGGGACCCGCAGCGAACTGGAAGCGCCAACCCGTCGGGATCACCAGCGCGTCCCCCGGCGACACGTCGACCGGCGACACCGATGCGGCATCGCGCCCCTGCGGGCACCGCCACACCTGCCCGCGCCCTTCCAGGATGTACCACGTCTCCTCAACAGTCCGGTGGTACACCGGCCGCGACACCTGCCCCGCCGGAAGCGCCACTTCCACCATGCTGCTCTTGCTGGCACCGTTGCCCGCATCCGCCAGCAGCCGTATCTCCGACCCGTCCGGCGCGTACACGTCAGGCTGGGCCGCGCGCCGAACGGGCGCCGGGACCCTGAACATCGGCTCCCCGGATTCAGCACTCGTGTCGGTTTCTTTCATTCCCTCGTCCTCTACTAACCCATGCCTCAGCCGCCTGCGGCAACGGTCACCCCCTCCCCGAGGGCGCTCCAGTAGGGCAGGGCAAAGGCAAATAGAACCGCCACGGCCACCAGGGTCATGATGACTCCCGTACGCAGCACCTCTGGGGATGAGATCTCCGCCCGCTGGTAGATGAAAACGCTTCCGGCGGCTGCTGCCGGGTAGAACACCACGGAGTCCCCTACGATGACGACTGCCAGCCCGCAGACCAGCGGGTTCAACCCCAGCGACGCCCCCGTCGACATCGCCACCGGTATGATGAACGCCAGGTAGCCAGCGATGTTCGGCATCACGAATCTCACCGCCGATGCCGCCCCTGCCATGGCCAGCAGCAACAGCCAGGGCGAGTCCGCGAAGCCGCCAACAGCCGACACCAGCGTGTTGGCGAACCATTCTGCCGCTCCGCTTTCCACCAGCGCGTTCGACAGGGACAACGACGTGGCAATGATGAAGAAGTTGCTCCATCCCAGGTTCTGCTCGAATTCCCGCCACGACAGCAGTCCGATTCCGGGCAGCAGCATCGCCACCATCACGATCAGCGCTGGCACCGCAGGAGACAGGCCGTGAGCAAAGTCGGTGAACCACAGTAGGGCCACGCCCGCCGCGAACAAACCGGCCTTCATCTCCGCCGGAGTGAATGCCCCGCCGCCCGGTTCCTCGTCGGCACTGCCCTCGGTTCCGGATTGTCCTGCAAACCCGGAACGGTAGAGCAGGAATACGGCCGCCCCTCCCACCACCAGGATGCTCCAGAAAGGCAACGCCATCAGCACGAACCAACGCGTCCACGAAAAGTCGCCGATGAGCGACGACGCCACTATCGGAGTGATTCCTCCGGCCAGCAGGGCGGTGGACCCCAGGCGATTGAGCGATCCCATCGCCAGCATCACCGCTTTGTTCAGCGGGTCGTCCCTCTCGATGTTCCATCGCCCCATGACCTGCTCGTAAACGTGCACCAGGATCGCGCCTCGCGTCGTGGCCGACGGCAGCGCGAAGGTCAGGGCGGCGAAGGATACCAGCATCTGCACGTAAAGCGCGCGCGGGCTCCCCTTGGCGAGGCGAATCAGGTACCCGGCCATCCGGTTCGCCAGCCCGGACTGCTGCACGCCCAGGCCAAGCGTAAGCACCCCGATCAGGAAATAGGGGACTGGCTGCGAAAATCCGTACAGTGCGGCCTCGATGTCTGGCACTGCCCCCAGCAGCGTCAGCATGATGACCGCCGCTATCCCGGTCACTGCCAGCGGGAGAGCACCCGTTGCCCAGAACCCAACGGCAAGAGCCATGACCGCCAGCGCCCGCTGCCCCTCACCGGTCAGCCCCTCCGGCGTCGCGGCCACCAGCACCACGGCGAAGGCCACCAGCGGCAGCCCGAATTTCACCGCCGTCGCACCCGGCCGGTCGCCGAGCGCTTTCAACATTCCTGTGAGTTCAAACGCCGCCATCTAAAAGGCTCTGCCATCCCACAAATTGGCAGCAATGCGCGGGAGATTCGTTGGTGGTGAGCTTGTCGAACCATCAACGGATTCACGCGAACCATCTCTCGACAGGCTCCCTACTGGCGTTTCGATTTTGGTGAAAGTCATGCAGAATTTACCGATTGTCCCTACCGGGAATCTTGCCACGGACATTTCTCTCATTTAAGTTCCCGGAACCCAGTTCCAACCCCCGGTTGCTGACGTCTGCTAAAGGCAAGACCCCCGGAGTGCAGCCCCGGGGGTCCTGACTTTGTCTGCCTCTGTCGCTGACGGCTAGGAAACCGCCGGCTTGCGCCCCTTGCGGCTGAGGAAATCACTGAAGCCCTCCTCGACGGTCAGGCCCCGGAAGCGCCCCTGCCGGCCCTCGATCTCCGTCCAGAACTGTTCCTCCAGCGAGTTGCCAGTGTGCTCAATCAGCAACTGCTTGATGTTGTTGACGCCCTCTGGCCGGTTCTTGGCGATGCCCGCCGCAACCTCGACGGTCTTCTCCATCAGGTTTTCCGCCGGCACCAAGTGGTTGATCAGGCCGATGTGATACGCCTCATCGGCGAACACCTCGCGCCGCTGTAAAGCAGTTCCTTGGCCTTGCCCCAGCCCACCAGCGTCGGCAGGCTCCAGGTCGCGTTGAGCTGCCCGTAGTTGACCGCCAGGAAACGGAAGCTGCTCTTCTCGCAGCCGATCAGAAAGTCCATGCTGGTGGCCATCACCGTGCCGCCGCCGTAGCACAGGCCGTTGACCGCCCCGATCACGGGCTTGCTGCAGGTGGCCAGGTGCCAGGTGTAATTCGCCCTCTCCGCAGCACCCGCGTCCCGCTGCTCCTGGTTGAATTCCCGGTTCTCATGGATGTCGGCCCCGGCCGAGAACGCCCGCTCACCGGCCCCGGTGATGATCACCGCGCCGATGCCGTCGTCGGCCTCAGCCTCCGTCAGGAACTGGTCCACCTCACGCACCAACCCGAGGCTGAGAGCATTCAGCACCTCCGGCCGGTTCAAAGTAACGATGGCGACCCGGTCCACCTGATCGGTGGAAATCATCTCAAAGGCCATATCAGCAAAAACTCCTCAGCCGCCCCGCCTGTCAGGCGAGGCGCAATCGACTCACAAACATCGCCTGACGCCAAGGCACAGGCAACCCCCTAAATAAAGCACAACAACCACCGCATTGCAAACGCTCAATCTGAACACTTATCTACAGTGGGGAAGTCGAGAATTGACCTGATTCTGTGAAGACCACTCAGTCCCTACGGGGCCTGAACAGCACATGAATCGCAAAGGCCCTCCTGTCTGAGTTGGGTGCGCTCTCAAAATGCATCAATCGCGTCCTCGGTTTCGTTAATGGCGTGCACCACCCAGCCACGGGAAAACGAGGCGCTGGGAGAGTATTCCGCAAGTTGGCGTTGCCCCTGCATGAATACAAATCTGCGTCCGAAATATTGGATCTCCGGAGGAAACACACTCATAGCAGACTGGCTATCGCACTGATTCCTGGCGTGTCTGTGTTCCAGCGCCCGGTATGTCTGACGCCACGCTGACTCGCTACGGTTGGATCGGGTTGATCCGGCAAGCCGGTCGGCGCAACATGACGCCAGGGCGTGAAAGAGAGCGTAATAAGCGGCGCTTATTGCCCGTCGCAACTCGGCTTGGCGCGGACGGCCCCTGTTTCCACCCACTGCCCCTGATGCCAGTTGTCTCGCTATTCTGATCAGGTCTCGAGGGTTCAAGAGGGGATCTGCCCTCCGTGAATTTCTTTCCACTCGCTCTTTTCGATGAACGAATGTCCGGGGGTATGGGGAAGTTCTCCATCGGACAGGTGGTCCAACAACCGCCCTTCCAGACGGCCAGTCCACTTGGGGTCCAGCTTCTTCTGGTCACCGTCGAAGATGATGTAGATGTGCAGGAATTCGTCCCCATAATGGTCCAGTTCCGGGTTGGCGATTATCGGGTCGAAGACGAACTCATCCTTGAACCGTCCCTCAAGGTCATTCCTTACGAATTTCTCGACCTTTTCGATGACTTCCGGCGTGGTGGTCGGTCTCTTGCCGTAGTCTATGAATGATTGGTGCACTGGCGGCCTCCCGACGGTTCCAACCGTCCTGAACTGGGCCCGGGCTTCTGCGGCTTTTATCTATTGGCGCCGCTTCGAGAAATAGTTGTCAACAACAAATTAAGCCTATCAACTTTCCGGCTACAATGTACATCGGTTACATTGAGACCACAGTTGCTGTCCAAGTCTGATTGAACCAGGAGGCCCACCCCATGCAGCAACGCAACTTCGTCGGCTACGGCCCCAACCCGCCGCAGTTCCGCTGGCCCAACGACGCACGCATCGCCGTCTCCGTGGTCGTCAACTACGAGGAGGGCTCCGAGTACTCCACCCTCGACGGCGACCCCGCCGGCGAGACCTCCGGCGAGTCGCCCTCCCCCCTCGGCCCCGGCGAGCGCGACCTGGCCAACGAGTCCTTTCTTCGAGTACGGCAGCCGCGTCGGCATCTGGCGCATCATGGACATCCTCGAACGCAACAATGTCCCCAGCACGTTCTACGCCTGCGCCCTCGCCCTCGAGCGCAACCCCGACGTCGGCCCCGAGGCCATCCGCCGCGGCCACGAGGTCATGGGCCACGGCAACCGCTGGGAGGAGTACTACCGCATGGACCGCGACGCCGAGCGCCAGGCCATCCGCGAGGCCGTCGACACCATCGAGCGCATCTGCGGCCAGCGCCCCCTCGGCTGGTACACCCGCTACGGCCCCAGCGTCAACACCCGCGAGTTGGTCGTCGAGGAGGGCGGCTTCGAGTACGACTGCAACGCCTACAACGACGACCTGCCCTACTGGACCCAGGTCCACGGCAACCCCTGGCTCGTCGTCCCCTACTCCCTGGAGGTCAACGACTACAAGTACTGGCGCGGCGACCTCCTCACCCCCGAGCACTTCTTCCAGGTCGCCAAGGCCTCCTTCGACCAGCTCTACGAGGAGGGCGCCACCCACCCCAAGATGATGTCCGTCGGCCTCCACTGCCGCATCATCGGCAAGCCCAGCCGCGCCCACGCCCTCGACCAGTTCCTGAAATACGCCTCCGAAAAGGAGGGAGTCTGGTTCGCCCGCCGCCTCGACATAGCCCGCTGGTGGAAAGAGCACTACCCAGCGGCGTAATCTGGACCGTGATTCTTGTGACTATGAGATTACCCTGATTGCGGCGTGCGCCGGCTGGGAGTGGCAAACCCCGGCATACCTAAGGGTCTCCTCTAATCTCTCGCAGATGCTCCTGCCAGTACGGACTGGAAACGCGAGGAGTATTTCCGTTCGTCAATTACAAAAGCCGACAGCGCGGCGGGGAACAGCAGCGCCCCGGAAATGGCAAATGGCAGGAAATATGATCCGGTGGCGTCGTACAGTATTCCGGCCAGCAGAATGCTGCCAAAGGATCCCACTTGGTGGCACATGAGCGATATACCCGAAATTGTAGCCAATGTCCGTAAGCCGTAAACGTCGGCAGTTAGCGAGGTGGTAACGGGTACGCTGGCAATCCAGGATAGACCCGCCAGCGCTGCGAACACCCAGAGGCTCGCAACACCCGGGGACCCGATTAGAGGCAGAGTGATGCCGCGCTCCACCGTGAACAGCCCTGCCAGCAGCACCACATAGGCCAATCCGCGAATAAGGTAAACACAGGCCAGCACATCCTTGCGTCCGATCCGGTCAGCCAGCCAGCTCCCTCCTATACCACCCAACACACTCAGACCCATCATAAGGCCGAAAATCACGCCAGCCATGGTAGGCGAAATACCTATCTGCTCCTCGGCATAGGGCACAAAGTGTATGGTGACGGCACCTACGGAAACACCGCAAATGGTGAAAGACGCTGACAGGTTCCAGATGGGCCGAGAGCGGAAGGACTGCCACCAATGCTCGACCTCGAACCGGCCTCGTTTCTGCGTCGGCGAAGGTTCGTCCGCAGGCCGCATCGGGTCGCCGTCAGGCTGCAACCCCATCTGAACCGGACTATTCTGCAGGAATATGAACCCCAGTGGCAGCGCCAGCACAGTTATGATTGCCCCGAGGGCGATCCAGGACACCCTCCAGTCGAACAAATCAACCAAATAGGCGCTAATGGGAATCAATGTAAGCCCGCCCAGAGCCCCACCGGCTACCAGCAGTCCCAGAACCATGGTGCGCCGCCGCACAAACCATCGGGCCAATAGGGGGCCCAGGGTACCCTCGGACACACCGCTAATGGCGACAGACAGTACGAAGCTGAACAGGAACACTAGGAATAGATAATGGAATGTGAGGCTCAATCCCGCTGTCCCCAATCCCACCATCAATAGACTGATGAGAATCACTTTGCGAGAATCGTATCTGTCGAAAAGGTGTCCCAGCAAGGGTTGCGACAAACCGTTGACCAACACGCCAATGCCCGCCGCCACCGATATGGTTGTACGGCTCCAGTCGAAGGCCTCGCTCATTGGAATTACGAAGACCCCGAAAGCGCTGCGCGAGCCGAGGGTCACTGCGGCGATGAACATGGCAGTGGCGGTTACGTACCATCCGTAATAAATGCCATCTTGTGGCCTTAGCTCTTTGTTCATGGCCAATTGCCTGTGTCTGCCGCGTCAAGTAAGAATCGAACTGGTTCGACCCAATTCTAAGTCAAAGCTAGATGGAAATGAGCAGATGTTGTGGGTCAAACGGCGGGGCCGTGTCACTCTCTCGGTACGGACGCGAGGAACTTACCCGCGCATCCCTGCTGATGATCATCAGCATTTGAATGCACATTCCACCTTGGCCCAAGTTTGGATTATAGTTTCGTCACTTTATCCCTCAAAGGAGCCACACCATGAAGACCGTCCGCATCTACCAGACCGGCGGGCCCGACGTCCTCAACTACGAAGACGCCCCCGAACCCTCCCCAGCGCCCGGCCACGCCCTCGTAGAGATCAAGTCCATCGGCGTCAACTACACCGACGTCTCCAGCCGCAAGGGCACCAACCCGCCCGACGCATTCCCCTGGACCCCCGGCCGCGAGGCCGCTGGCGTCGTCACCGCCATCGGCGCGGGCGTATCCGAGGTGTCCGTCGGCGACCGAGTGGCCTACGCCATGCACACCGGCACCTACTCGCAGGTCCACTCCGTCCCCTCGTGGTTGCTCGTCCGCATACCCGACGGCATGGACTACAACACCGCCGCCGCCACCATGCTCCAGGGCATGACCGCCCATTTCCTCGTCTACGGCATCGCCCACCTGAAGGAGGGCGACCGCGTCCTAGTCCATGCCGGTGCCGGGTGGCATGGGCCTCTGGCTCATCCAGATGCTCAAGAACATCGGCGTCTACGTCCACACCACCGTCTCTACCGAGGAAAAGGCCGACCTCGCCAAGGGTGCCGGAGCCGACCACACCATCATCTATACAAAACAGGACTTCGAAGAGGAAATCCGCAAGGACTCCAACGGCCAGGGCCTCAAGATGGTCATGGACGCCGTCGGAGCCACCACCTTCGACCAAGGCATGCGACTCCTCGGACGCCGCGGCTACATGGCCCTCTACGGCGCAGCCGGCGGCCCCGTCGGACAGGTCGACACCGGCGCCCTCCGCGGCGGCTCCCTCTTCCTGACACGACCCCAGCCTCGGCGACTACACCGCCACCCGCGACGAGCTGCTCCAGCGCGCCACCGACGTCCTGAACTGGGTGCAGTCCGGCGAGGTCAAGCTATACGTCGGCCTCGAGCTCCCCCTGTCCGACGCCCAGGAAGCCCACCGCAAGCTCGAGGGCCGCGAGACCACCGGCAAGATCCTGCTGACACCGTGACTGTCTCTCTCAGCGAAACGGATCAGGGAGAGACTTTCTCAAGCTTCTGATCGTCAGGGAAATTGACAGCCGCTGGCCCCCCGGATACGTTTGTACCAATGCGGGCAACCTTCGAAATAGACGCGAAGCTGGTGCTGCTCCTGCACGAGATCGCCGAGCGCCGCGGCATGACGGCCTCCGCCCTCGTCGAGGAGGCAATCCGCGTCGTAGCCGGCGTGAACGCGTCGCCCGGTCCCGCCGAGAACCGCAGCCGGCCCCTGCCCTCGTGGCCTATGGGCCAGCCCCTGGTCGACGTCTCGAATCGCGAGGAACTTGACTCCACCATGGATGGCCCCGGCGCAGCCCAGCAGCTCTACGGCAGCTCGGTCAGGACGTAGTCCGTGCTGTTCGACGCCAACATCCTGGTCCACGCCGTCAACGAGGCGTCGGAACTGCGCGAGTTCTGCCAGGAACGGTTGGAGGAGGCCCGATCCGTGGCCTCCTCCTTGCATCTGACCTGGGAAATCGCCTACGAGTTCCTGCGCGTCGCCACCCACGCCGACGTCTTTCCCTCGCCCCTTTCCACCGACCGCGCCCTGCGCTTCCTCAACGAGCTGCTCGACTCACCCGGCACCAAGCTGCTGGCCCCCACCGATCGGCATCAGCAGGTGCTCGCGCTCACACTGGCCGAGTTCCCCGACGTGCGCGAGAACGGAATGCGCAGCCTCTACACCGCCGTCCTCATGCGGGAGAACAGCGTCGACCGCATCTGCACCCCTCGACCGCGAATTCCGGCGCTTCCCCTTCCTGACAGTCGTCGACCCCCGCGGCTAGCGGCCCGACGCCCCTACTGCGCCACCCAGCCGCCGTCGATCACCAGCTCGCTGCCCGTCACGAACGACGACTCGTCCGACGCCAGGTACAGCACCCCATACGCCACATCGATGGCCTCGCCGTACCGTCCCAGTGGTATCCGAGACTCCATCAGCGCCTGCACCGCCGGGTCCGACCGCCGTCCCTGGGTCATCGGAGTGACTATCGGCCCCGGATGCACCGAGTTGCACCGTATGCCGTCCGCCGCATACTGGATGGCCGTAGACTTGGTCAGTAGCCGAACCGCGCCCTTCGACGCAATGTATTGCGGGCTGGACTCGCTCATAGCCACGATCCCAAGCTGCGACGAGATGTTGATGATCGATCCGCCGCCCGACCGCTGCATGGCCGGGATGGCGTGCTTTGTCCCCAGGAACACGCCCTTGGCGTTAACCGACATCACCCGGTCCCACTCCTCCACCGTCGTGTCCTCGATGCCGCCCCGTGGCGCTGACTCCCGCGTTGTTGACCAGGATGTCCAGCCGTTTGTAGACCTCCTCCGCCATCGACACCGCCCGCTGCCAGTCCGCCTCCTTGGTAACGTCCAGCCGCACGTAAAATCGCCTGCCCGCCGGGTATCTGCGCCGCCACCTCCCGTCCCTCATCCAGCACGTCCCCGATCACCACCTTCGCCCCTTCCTTGGCAAACAGCAGAGCCTCCTCTGCTCCCATCCCCCGCGCCCCGCCACTGATCAACGCAACCTTTCCTTCCAACCGCATGGCCATTCACCTCCAAGCCCACATTTGTCATGCTGTGATTAGAAACCACTAATTGATGCAATGATATGATATTCCTTATTCACAGCAAGCGGGAATCCCGCGCCTCAGGAGAACGAGAGTGGGAACGCTCCAAGTAGATCTCTGGATGGGCAATCTGTTCACCGCAGCCGGAACCAACGTCGTAGCCCCTGGCCGATACTGGAGCAACTTACTCCGTGATCCCCCGCAGCGTCTTGGAGGAACTGGCTATCGAGCCTGTTGAAACGAGAGTATCGAGAATCGCCGACGGGAGCCGGGTCGAGATGCAAACGTCCTGGGCCAGGTTCTCCGCCGAGGGACGAAACGCCGTCGCGCGAGTGTCTTTCGGCCCGGATGGGGTATACCTGCTGGGCGCGACCACGCTGGAAGATTTAGGCCTGTCCGTTGACCCCGTAGACCTGCGCCTCATCCCACAGGAAACCCTGCTGATGTAGCCGACCTATGCAACACGCGTCTGCCTGGGTCACCACGAAATCCGGGAGAGTCAGGAATTTGTAAGGGTGGGTTTGAAACCCGCCCTTCTCCGTGTCGCACCCGCCCTAATACCGCGTCTGCTGGCCCATCGGCGTGTACGTCCCCGGATGCACCGCGCACAGCCCGGCGTCCACCGGTAGCACGATCCCCGTGACCCAACGCGCCTCGTCGCTGGCCAGGTACAGCGCAGCGTAGCCAACGTCCCAGCCGGTGCCTTCCACCTGCATCGGCGCCGAGTTCCGACGGTACTGCCGCAGGTCGTCGTCCATCCGCGGTGCCACCATCGGCGTGTACACCAGCCCCGGCGCGATGGCGTTAACCCGGATGTTGTCCTGGGCGTGGTCCGCGGCCATGGAGATAGTCAGCCCGATGACCCCCGCCTTGGACGCGGTGTACGGCGTGCTCATGTGGGCCCGCATCCCAGCGATCGACGAGATGTTGATGATCGAGCCGCCGCCGGTCTGCATCATCCGGGGGATCACCGCCTTGGCCGCCAGCACCATGGTCTTGAGGTTGACGTTCATCACCCGGTCCCAGTCCGCCTCGCTAACCTCCACCACCGTCCCGCGCTGCGAGATCCCCACGTTGTTGTCGAGAATGTCCACCCGCCCGTAGCGGTCGATGGCCGCCTGCGCCATGCCTTCGCAGTCGTCCAGCTTGGTCATGTCGCCCTGGAACGTCGACGCCTCGCCGCCCTCCGACTCGATGATCTGAAGCGTTTCCCTGGCCCGGTCCTCCACCTGGTCCACCAGCAGCACCTTGGCCCCCTCGCGGGCCATCAGGATCGCCGCCGCCCTCCCGTTCCCGATCCCCTCACCGCTGGACCCAGCCCCCGTAATAATAGCCACCTTGCCCTCAAGCCTAGGAGCCCGCTCCACCATAACCCCAATCTCCTGCCACCTAAATTCACGCTCAAATCGCGCCGTCGGTATCCGGCATCCGCCGTGGCTACAATCGGGGATTTGGCCGTGGGTTGTCAAGGGTACCTCGTTCATAGGGAATCGGCTTGAGCCAGGACTTGTAAGAGTATCTCAGATCGAGCAGGATGTTCCGGCCATCATGTCCGGGTTAGGCCTGTGGTGTCGTCACCTTGCAATTTCCCCGCTGGTGGCATACTTTCAAGACATCGGCTTTATCGTGATTTTTGCCAGTAGCTCGCTACTGGCAAATGTCTCCGTGGGAGTTCGTCAAAATGCTCGACAGACCATGCGCAAAAGAATTGGAAGGCATAGTAGAATCGATGCTCTCACAGAGTCCACACGACATGTTCAAGAGATGCCTGGCGTTATATGGGGAAACTGCTCACATTTCTGAGCCAAGAGGGTTTTATTTCAGAATCACCGAAGATGCTGCCTACCGCAATCTAGTGATAGCAGGAGATTCAGGAATTGTTGACATCGAGGCGGATGAGAGTAGCAGTGAAGACCGAGAGGTTTCTATTTATCCTTACCGATCTATTATGAGTGTAATACTCCACGTAGGGTCAATACCGACCCTTCCTCGCACAAGGAACTCACTACTTACGGTTGCTTGTCTCTCCGCATCCAATTCCATTGCCTGTTACTGGAGTGCCCACAGTGAGGATGAGGGCGAGCGCCTGTCCAGTTTCGCCGGGATTTTGGTCAAAGCAATTTCCGATTAGTGGCAAGGTAACCAAATGAGTTACGCGAAAATCACATCAGTTACAGCAACAAAGGGGTGGTTGCAGGAAGAACCTTTCATACCTTGGCGAGATATGCTCCACTATCCCATCGACACTCAGGGCGCGCTCAGCCCGTTTCGCGAGCGGGTTCTCGGATACATTTATCGCACTGCTTTAGGCCTGTCTAAGGGTCTCTTGGAATCCGCAACAGTGGAGGCAATTAGCGAGCCCGACGAGGAGGACTCCCTCCACTTGCACCTCGCTATGACTATCAACATGGAGTGGGATGGGCTTGATAAGCTCCATGACCAAATACTTGCAAGTTTAGCTGAGTGGTCTAGGGAGTGGCCGCTCGAATATCAGGAAGATTACGGTCGCTGGATCTTCTTTAGCCTGACTCCCTCACACATATGAAGCCCATTGAGTTTTACCGTCTGGCAGTTGCTATAGCACCCAGCGCGGTTTCAGAACCATTTCAACGAACAGTCGTGGGGCGGCTGTACTACGGACTCCATCACGAAGCCTGCTGTCGGTACTACCGAGAGAACCCCACCGCTATGCCGCTGGAGCTCAACAAAAGACACGCCTCATTGCAGAGGCGATTCAACCAACCCGCTGACGCCAAGTCCAAAAAGGTCGCAAACCTCTTGCGACAACTCAGACATTTCAGGGCCCAAGCTGATTACGAGCTTGGTCAAATGTATATCAACGGAAGACCAGTCACCGCAGCTCAGGTTCTGAACTCGGCAACCCAAGTGGCACAGCAGCTCCTTGCAGCCTTAGAAGCCTACTCACTGGGTGACGCGCCAGATGGATGCGTCTGTAAGATCGACTAACACTTAACACTCTTCCCTCGGTCATATCCAAACCACCACGAGCAAGGACCAGTCCTGGATTCCTATCGCAAGATTAGTCCATGTCGAACAAGATTCCCCCTTGCCAACCCCCGCAACACCCACGTACAATGACTGCAAGCATTTTTACGAACAAACGTTTCCTGCCTCCACCTGACCCCCCACCCTCGCCCCGCCAGGAGGGCCAACCAACCCCAGTGGGACAAATGGGACAGAATGGGACGGGAATCGCGAATTTTCCGGAAATCCGGCACTTTCCAAAGCTGGCAACCACGCCAAATGGGACAATATGGGACAATCTGGGACAGCCATGGGAAATTCCTGTCCCAAATTCCCACCCCCGACGGCCCGCACCAGCTCAGCCAGGAGGGTCAGCGGAAAATGAGTGGATTTGAGCGGAAATGGGCGGAAATACAAAATTTTCAGTCGTCAGCCCGCCCTCTGCCGAGCCTCAAACCCCGCTCCCCACTCCCATACCAGCCAAAACGAAGAGAGGCCTTCCTTGACGCCCCGTCTGCCAATCCCCTAGACTGAGCACAGTGCATTCTGGAAACAATTGCACTCCCGAACCTCCCCAACCGGCACGCGGGCCGGATCATTCGTGGCCGGATTCATCCAGGCCGGAAGTTTCGCACACATGGTTGAACCAACAACTCGCGGCGGCGACGTCGCTCTCTTCATCGACTGGGAAAACTTCAAGATCAGCTTGGCCGCAGGCAACCGGACCCCAAACCTCTCGTCCCTCAAAGAGGAAGTCGCCAACCAGGGCCGCGTCGTGGTCGCCAAGGCCTACGCCGACTGGGTGACCCGGGCGCCCGAATTGCGCGGGGCCAGCCAGTTCATCAACGACCCTCCGTCCCTCTACGCCGCCGGCATCGAGCCTGTTTTTGTGCCCACACGCATCCCCTCTACCCAGGCTTCAACCGCCAACGGGATGCGTACCTACCGGGTCAAGAACAGCGTCGACGTCAAGATGACCGCCGACTGCATCGAGTGCGCCCACTCCTATCCCAACATCGGCACGTTCGTGCTGGTTTCGGGCGACTCCGACTTCCTCCACGTGGTTAACGCCCTGCGGACCATGGGCAAGCAGGTGGTCATAATCGGCGTCTCCTGGAGCACCTCCCGCCGCCTCGCCGATCAGGTCGATTCGCTGGTCCTCTACGACAAGGACGTGGATCCAATCGCCCCGCAGCCGGCCGTGCTGCCCCAGCACGCCAACCCCACCGAGGCCCAGAATGATGTCCCAGAGCTTGCCGCTGTCATCCGCGCCATAGAAGACATCATCCGCGAAGAGCGCGCCATCGGCAGCAACCCGCTGCTCACTTCCATCAAGCAGCGCCTCATGCGCCGCTACCCCAGCTTCGACGAGAAGAAAATCGGGTTCTCCGGTTTCAAGAAGCTCATGGCCCGCGCCGCCGAAGACGGCAACATCAAGCTGATCCACGCCGGTCTGGTCGATTGGGCCATAATGGGCGACGAGGAAACTCCCGAGGGCACCATCGAGGAGAGCCCGTCGGGCGTGGCCGCCAAGCCCAGCCGACGCCGCGGTGGCCGGCGCCGCCACGGGTCCCAGCGCGACGGCGACGCCGAAGCTGACACCGACATGGCAGACGGCGAAGACGACGCAGCCGAAGACACCGCCTCGGATGCCCCGGCAGAGTTCGCCGGGGAGTTGGAGGAGACCGCCGCCACCGACTTCGACCTGCCTGAGCCGTTAGAGTCGGAGACCCCGGAGGAAGTGGAAGACACCTCCGAAGAAGAGGTGCAGGTTCCCTGGTTCGACCCCGACGAGGAAGTCAGCGTGGGACAGCAGCCCGCTGCCATATTGGCTGCCGCGCCACAGCCGGAGCCGGAGCCGGAACCCGAAGAGGCGGTGCCCGTGAACGTCTTCGGCGACGACGCCGAGTTGGCCTCCGCCGTGCAGGAAGTCCTAGCATCCATTTCCCTGCCCTCCGAACCGGAGGACGGCCTGAACTCGGAACGTATCTCGGACCTCGTCGTTATGGCCGACTATCTGGAGCATCGCCAGGGCGTCAGCCACGTCGCTTTCAACTACCTGGTCGCCGAGGTCTGCACCGCCCTCGAAGAGGGCCTGGCCGCAGGCAACGACCAGATCGCCCGCCACTGGAACGACGTCGGGACCAAGGACTACGTGACTCGCGCGTACCGGGGCCTCTCCGACAGCGGTTTCTTCCGTCGCGCGGTGCACACTTGGCGCGAGGAAGGCAACAACCGCCGCCGCCAGCGCCGCACCTTTAACCTCGACCGGGAAAATGACCTGGTAGGCCGCGTGCTAACGGCTCGTTTGGGCCCCGCCGCCAATTCTGCCCCGCCCGTCGAGCCCGTCGTTGAAGCCGACCCAGGATCGGTGGAACCGGCCGAGCCTCAACTGCCGGACATTGAGCAGGAACAGCCGGTAGTCGAACAGCTCTCCCTCGTCAACGGCGACGGTGCCCTGGAACCCGAGCCGGAACCGGAGATTGAGCCCGAGCCCGCCGTCGACGCCCCAGCTCCCGCAATCGCCAATGACCCTGACGAGGAATTCGACGAACCCCAGCCCAGGAGCACTAGGCGCGCCCGGCCATTCTCCAGCCGCCTCCTGCGTAGTTGACCAGAAGCTGACCCACAGCCAAACGCAAAACCAGAAGGGGCGCTCAAAGCGCCCCTTAATCGTCAGCAGTTGCCACCCAGCCGTTGGGGAGCCCAGGCTAGAAGTCCAGAATCAGCGTCGACCAACCGAAGTCCCTGGCCCCTAGGCCCTCGGCCGTGTAGGGATTGTAATACTCCCTGAACCCCGACTTGGCGATGCACTCCTTGCTCTTCTCCACCAGAGGCTCACTCAGCTCGGGATAGCCATGCCCCCGCAGCGAGTGCGACAGGAAGTAGTTGGTGTTCATCCACGACGGCCCCCGCCAGATGAAGCCGCCCGGGTTGCCCGGCATGAACTTGGGGTCCGACGCCGGCACCGAGGGCAGCGGGTACGGGTCCAGAAGTGCTCCGGCCTGCGCACCCAGTCCTCCACCAGCCGCTCCACGATCGGCCGCGGAAGGTCGGCCATGATCAGCGGCATCAGCGAGCTGATGGTCACCGTCTTCAGCGGCTTCTCATCCACGCCAGACAGGTCGAAGAACGCCCCGGCCTCCTCGTCCCAGCACTTCTCCACCAGCGCGTTCAGCGTCTTGTCTGCCTCGCGGTTGAACTCGGCGGCCTCCGGCGAGCCCTCCCCTCCGACGTCGGCATGGAGTCGCGCCAAGGCCCGCATCGAGAAGCAGTAGATCGAGTTGACCAGCACGTCCTCAACGTGGAATGATGTCCGCCGCCAGCACCGCGTGGTCGTCGTGCCGCAGCGTCTCGTAGGCTGCGTAGACTTTCCGCAGCGCCGTGATGAAGCCCCGGTTGCTCAGCTCCTCCAGCCCAGGATCTCATCGTATTTCGGCGAGCAGTCGGTCCCTGCCTCCTCAGGCTGAATGGCGGCGATCAGCCCGTCGCCGTCCGGGTCGCGGGCCTCCCTCAGGTACGCGGTAGTAGCGGGTCAGGATGGGCAGCGCCTCCCGCAGGAATTCCTCGTCCCCGGTCACGCGGTAGATCCGCGCCACGGCGTAGGCGATGATGGGCGGCTGGATCGTCGCGCTGTAGTACGGCTCGGTCATCCCCACGATGTTGCGGCTCAGGAAGTCTGGCTGCTTCTCCATCTCCCAGAAAATGATGTGCGGGATGAACCCGCTGGGCTGCGCACCGCTCATCAGGGAGCGCATCTCCTTCTTGGCCTGCTCCGGGTCCAGATGCAACAGCGCAAGGGCGTGGAAGCAAGAGTCCCAGAACCACTGGAAGGGATAGCCCGTCAGCGAGGGGCAAACGAAGCTGTACTCCTTGCCGTTCCAGTCAGCCACCCCCTGCCGCAGATTCGACAGCAGGATTCGGCGCGCCCCCTCCTCCAGTTCCTCCCGCGAAATGACGCTCGTCATGGCTGTCCCCTCCTGCGGCTGTCGTTATTGTCCCGGTGCACTGGCAAGATTCAAACCAGTGCGATTGTTTCGGAGTATAGGATTCTGGTCTCGCCTTGGCAATTTGGCCCAATGGGATCGGCCGACTGAGGCTGGGAGAGATCGTCTACCTCTCCCCCCGGTACAGCGCCAGGTACTTCTCCGCCACCGCCGGCCAAGTGAACTCCGCCAGCGCGTAAGCTCGCGCGTCCTCGCCCAGCGCCCGCCGGCCCTCGTCGTCGTTGACCAGTTCTGCCAGGCCGACCACCGCAGCCCGCCGGTCGAAGCGGGCCGTCACCACCGCGCCGCGATGCAGCAGTTCCCGGTTTGATCCCACGTCGTGGGTCAGTACCGGCGCACCGTAGGCCATAGCCTCGAAATACACCAGCCCGAACGCCTCGTAGTGTGAGAACAGCACGAACAGGTCGGCTCGGGCGTACCACCGCGCCAGCTCTTCGTCCGAGACCTCGCCTGTGACAATCACCTCGTCGCTCAAATCGTGCTCCTCGACAAATCCGGCGATCGCGGAGGCATCTCCCTCGTCGCGGCCCACCAGCACAAGCCGCACTGGCTTGTTGAACTGCGCCCTCGCCTCCAGGTACGCCTCCAGCAGCCACATCTGCGCCTTGTGCCGCCCCAGCCTCCCCACGCACAGGATGGTAACGGGCTGTCCGGAAAACCGAGGGTCCCCGGTTCCCGCCTGCTGAGAACTGTCCTCGCTGCGCACGGACTCGATTACATTCGTGTCAGGAGGCGGCGCCCCCCAGCCGATGCTGCTCAATTTGCTGTTGGGGGCCAGGTATGCGCGGCGCAGTCCTTTGGCCTCCTGCTGGGTCAGGGGCACAATGTCATCCACCAACCGGCACAGTGCGGCGTTAAGCGGAGCCAGCCACCATCGAGTCAGCGGCAGCGTGTGGAATGATGGCGTGAACACGAACCGCGCCCGTCCCCCCCAGTGGAACCGGGCCCAATAATGACCCCAGAACCAGCCATCTCCCACAAAGTGGATCACGTTGGGCCGGAACTCCTCCAGGTACTGCCGCACCCTGCCCGGAGAGAACCAGACCAGTGGAACAGAGTACAGCGGCGGTGACCAACGGGGAAATCCGGGGAGTCGGAACACTTCGACGCCGTCTGTGAGGGTCTCGCGGTCGGGCCAGTCCGGGCGCGCCAGACGAGGAAAGGAGTACTTTGGTGGTGAGCACTCCCACTGCCTCCACCTGTGGGGAGTGTTGAATCTGGTGGGACAGTTCCTCGATGGCGCGCTCAATGCCGCCCAGATATGGACGGTAGTACGGAGTCAGGTACATCACGCGCAGCGGCGCGCTACGCACTGGCCGCCTCCAGTGATTGGGTCCAGATCCCGGCCAGGCGCGAGACCGGGACGTCTACCCCGTCTCCCGTGTCGGTTCCGTCCTCATTGCGGCTGGCAATCTGTAAAGAGTCCCCACCTGTGTATCCCAGCAGAGAAACGGGAGCCCCGGTGGCCTTGGCCAAGTCCTCCAACAGGTGCATCCGTTCCCGATGCACTGCGACGACGACGCGGGACTGCCTTTCCCCAAACAGGGCGGCATCCCACCGCGATAGACCGTCCAGCGTGCCTTGGAATCGAAAACCGACGCCGCCCAGGATGCAGCACTCGGCCAGCGCCACCGCCAGCCCGCCGTCTGAGCAGTCGTGGGCAGAAAGCACCAGCCCTTGCTTGACTCCCTCCCGGCAAGTCTCCTGCACTCGCCTCTCGAGCTCGAGGTCGATATGAGGCTGGCCTGCTGTCAGCCCGTGCATCACGCTCAAGTACTCGCTGCCCGCCATGTCTTGGCTGGAGGCAATTCCTAAGCCGTGGCCCAGCAGCATTACCGCCAATCCCTCAACCGGAAAGCCCGCCCCCACTGCCTTGCTGGCGTCCTCCAGCAGGCCCAGCGCGCCGACCACCGGCGTGGGGTGGACCGCCTGCCCTTGCGTTTCGTTGAACAGGCTGACGTTGCCACTGACCACCGGGGCGTCCAGCGTCTCGCTGGCCAGCGCCATCCCCCGGATGCACTCCTCGAGCTGGTAGTAGATATCGGGTCGAAGCGGGTTGCCGAAGTTCAGGCAGTCAGTCAATGCCAAGGGCCGCGCGCCGGTGCAGCTGATGTTGCGGCACACCTCGGCCACCGCTATCTGCCCGCCAACGAAGGGATCGAGGAAGCAATGCCGGCCGTTGCCGTCAACAGCCAGGGCAATGGCCTTGCTGGTACCCTTCACCCGGAGCACCGCGGCATCGCTGCCGCCCGGACCGATCATGGTGTTGGTCTGCACCTGGTGGTCATATTGCCGGTAGACCGAACGTTTGCTGGCAATGTTCGACGATCCAAGCAGCCGCAGCAGCGTCTCCGCCGGCCCGCACTCCGGCAATGGCACGTCGATCAGCGACTTCTCGCGTCGGGCCAGGTCTTCCGACGATGGCTTGCCCTCCAGGCGATACGCCGGCGCCTCTGACAACGGCTGGATAGGCAGGTGCGCCACCGACGCGGCTCCGTCGAAAATCCGCGCCTCCGGTTCGACGATAACGCTGCCGATCTCCCGACAGTCCACGTCCCACCGCTCGAAGACCGCCCGCACCTCGTCCACCCGTTCCGGCAGGGCCACCAGCAGCATCCGTTCCTGCGACTCCGAAAGCATCACCTCGTAGGCGTTCATGCCAGTTTCACGCCGGTGTACTTCCGACAGGTCCAGCCGAATACCGCGCCCAGCCCTGGCTGCCGACTCAATCGACGCACTGGTCAGTCCCGCGGCACCCAGGTCCTGGATTGCCAGCACCGCTCCTGTGTCCAGTGCCTCAAGGCAGGCCTCTATCAATACCTTTTCCAGGAACGGATTGCCCACCTGCACCGTTGGGCGCAGCTCCTCCTCCTCCTCAAACGTCCTCGACGCCAGGCCGGATGCACCGTGGATACCGTCGCGCCACGTGTCAGCCCCTGCCAACAGCAGCACGCTGCCCGGAACCCGCGCCGCCGCCGAGGCCAAGCGGTCTTTGCTGATCAGGCCGACGCACATGGCGTTGACCAGCGGGTTGTGCGAATAGGAAGGGTCAAAGTAGATCTCGCCGCCAACATCCGGAACCCCGATGCAATTGCCGTACCACGAGATACCGCGCACCACTCCGCCGAACAGGTGCCGGTTTACCGCACCCTGTTCAGTGTCGTCCAGCGGGCCGAAGCGCAACGAGTTGAGAAGCGCAACAGGGCGGGCACCCATGGCCAGTATGTCCCGCACGATGCCGCCTACACCCGTGGCCGCTCCCTGGAACGGCTCCACCGCTGAGGGGTGGTTGTGCGACTCCACCTTGAACACCACGGCTAGCCCATCGCCAATATCAACAGCGCCGGCGTTCTCCGCGCCGGTCTCGGAAAGTACCACTGGCGAGGTGTGACTGAACATCCGCAGCAGTGGCCGCGAGTGCTTGTAGCCGCAGTGCTCGCTCCACAGCGCCCCGAACATTCCCAACTCGACAGAATTGGGTTCCCTGCCCAGACGCTCCACGATAAGGTCGTATTCAGAGCGCGTGAGGGCGATCTCGTCCAGTACTTCCTGGCTGACAGGCATGGCTCACCACGGGGACAGGATGGAGATATGCGGAAATACTACCACCGCAATTCCCAATGGGGAATGAGAAAAGCGTGCGATCCGCCGAGTCCGGACATGTTCAGAGAGCGGGCGGTCCGTCCAGCGGCGTAACTTTCCCGCCGTCCACTAGGAAATAAGACGCCCTCGCACCGAAGAACCCCACCACCTGCTCTGGGTCGGTGGTGGTTATCAGCACCTGCGGATACCCGCAAGCCTTTTCCAGCACTCGGCTGCGGCGGGTCGCATCCATCTCCGACAGAGCGTCGTCCAGGAGCAGCAGCGGGCCGGTGCCCCGTGCCGCCGACAAGGTCTCGGCTTCCCCCAGTCGCAAGGCCAGCGCCAGCGTCCGCGCCTGGCCTCGGGAAGCAAAGGAGCCCATGTCCACGCCATTGACGAAGATGTCGAAATCGTCCCGATGTGGCCCGACCGCCGTGGCCGCAGTCGCATGCTCTCGCCCCGCCACACCCTGCAGCGCATCCCGGTAGCTCGCTGCCATTCCGTCAGCGCTACCGGAGAGGAGCACGCTGGGACGGTATCGCAACTCTAGGTCGTCGTTGGGGTCGCTCAGGTCCGCGTGGTGCCGGGAGCAGGCGGGCGCCAGATCGTTCATGACCTCGTGCCTGCGCCAAGTCAGCCACCCCCCCTCCTTGACCAGCTCTCCATCCCAGAACTCCATTTCGTCGGGAGCCGCCCGCCCTTCCCGTCGCAGACGCAGCAATCGGTTCCGCTGCCGCAGCACCTGCTGGAAGCGCTGCAACGCCTTGAAATAGTCGGGGTCGGCCTGCGATATGAGTATGTCCAAGAAGCGGCGACGCCCCGCCGGTGGCCCTTGGACAAGTTCGATGTCCAGCGCACTGAACAGTACCGCGTGAACCAGTCCCACCAGCCCCCCCGCGGTGCGGCGCATCCGGTTGACCCGAATCTCCTTGCTTACCCGGTAACCTGGCCCGCTCACGGTATCGGAAGCCGATACGCGGTAGCCGATGATCACCCGCTGCCTGCCGGAAGGATCATCGCCGTCCTCCACTATCCCTTCGACCAGCGTCAGTTCGCCGTCCCTTGCTGCACCGAAGTTGACCAGTTCGCGCTCGTTCTCAGCGCGAAACGACCGGGCAATAGCGAGGATGTAGACTGCCTCGACCAGCGCCGTTTTCCCTTGAGCGTTGTCGCCGAAGTAGACCGAGACGCCCGCAGGTATCTCCAGGTCAACATCGACCAGGTTGCGGAAGTTGCTAAGCCGCAGACGCGAAAGGGACACCTACTTGTTCCGGACTTTCATTTCCTTAAGCTGCCACTCAGTAAACGCGATCCCTGCGCCCAGAATTACCAACGTAGCAGTATCTTTCTCTCGAATCGCTTGTTCTCGCCGTTCCAGAAGAGCGGTGTGAAACTCTCTCGCCTCTTCTTCACAAAGCTCTTCCTTATCCAGCTTTCTGGCCAACTCATCCCATCGTTCCTGTGTCATGGGATTTCCTGGCGCAGGCACACCCGGCAGGTTGGGAATCTGCCCGTTCCTGAATGAGTCCCAAATGCGCTCTACTTTAGGTTCCAACGCAGCAAGGCGACCCTGAATCGCGTATAACACTCGAAATCCCAGGGTCGCGAGGGTGAGAATTACAAGGACAATTGCCGCAGTGATGGCGGAAGCAAATGTTACAACCCTCTCGGGGATGTTTAGGAGAAACGAAGGTGAAATCCGTCGGTAACATCACTTACTCCCCCTGCAGCCGCCGTATCTCCTCCTCCAGCTCCGCCGCCTGCCCGGCCTCGCCCGCTGAGAGGCGGAAGCAGCGGTCCAGGTACAGTTTGGCAAGCTGCGAACTGCGCTCCGAGGTATCCTGGGCCACCGCCAGCAGGTTGGCCAGCTGGAACTCGTTCGGCAGGTGCCGCGCCAGTGCTGCGATCTCCTCGCCCGCTTCGTCGGCGGCAGCCCGGTCCGCTCCCTCAACCGCGAACCGCAGGCGCCCTAGCAGCCGCGACAACTCGCTCAGCTTGTCGCTCTCGCTCATGAAGCTGAACAGCACATCATTGACATTGAACGAGGAGTCCAATTCCTCCTCCGCCTCGTCGACCACCAGCAAAGCCTCGGAATCCGCGCCCACAACCTCGCCTCCGACCACCGTGGCGCTCTTGCCGGCAGCGGCATAGAGCTCGGCATAGCTTGAAACCGCCTCGGTAACCGACTCCATCATCCGGGGCAGGTCGTAGGAGAACATGTTGCCCGCGTACACCAGGTCGTCGCCCCGTTGAGCGCTCAGGCGCTCCAGTTCGCCGAATCCATCCACTGGCTCAGGCACCGGCGGCATGGCGAAGGACGAGAGGTCGTTCAGCGGCAAAGACCCCAGGTGAGAAGCCAGGAAAGGTGGCAGAAACTTGGTCAGGTCGGATTTGATGGGCAGGGTTACGACATAGCTGGCATAAACCTTGTCCGGTTCCGTATCCACTTTGAAATACACCAGCGCGTGCCCAACAGGGCTATTGTGATTGCCTCGATCAAAATAAAGGTCCATGGCTCGAAGTCACCCGTCCGTCTGCGTAAGTCGGTAGTTCTTTCGCAGTCAATTTTCCGCTATGGTCTGTAGTTCGATTATAGCATTGGCCCCACACCTCAGCCTTGGCACCCGGCCCGTCGTTGACGGCATCGGGCAAAGAAAGTATCGTATAATCGATCCGAATTTGTACTGATTGGCTGCACGCTAGGGGGCGGGAAATGCCCGATCCAGAAGTCAGAATATTCGACTACGACAAGATCGAAATCGGCGAGGAACTGGGTTCCTACGAGTATCTCCTGACCCAGGCAATGCTCGATAGCTTCCGCGCCTCCATCAGCGATCCTGACGCCGTCTTTCCGACCCTTGCGGTAAAGCACGACGCCACCGCCTTCGCCATGGTCTACGAGGACAACACCGGCGGTGTCAACGCAGGCAACGAGGTGGAGTTTTTCAACCCGCCTATCCCCGGCAAGAGAATTCACGTAACTGGCCGCATCGCCGACAAGTACCTGCGCCGCGACAAACCATACATGGTCATCGAGGCCACCGCCATCGACGAGGACGGCCGCCTGCTGGAGAAGCTCCGCACCTACCAGATGAAGAAACCTGACGAGGTGGGCAAGAAATGGCATCCGCAAGCATAGCAACCGGCCAGCAGATACCCTCCGTCACCAAGGCCATCACCCAGGACACCATCGTCCAGTTCGAGAATTGCGGCATACTGGACCGCCAGAACATTCACAACAACCCCGAACTGGCCCAGCAACGCCTCGGCACAACCTACCCCATCGCCTCCGGTCGCATGTCGGTGGCATTCGCCGCCGAGAGCCTGCGCCGATTCTTCGGTCCCGAGGTGTTCAATCACACCGGCAGCGTCAACCTCAAGTTCCTGCGCCCCGTCAAGGGCGGCGACACCATCACCGTCACCGGGGAGGTCTCAGGCCAGGAGGACACCGACGAAGGCTCCCGCGTCATAGTCAACCTCTACTGCGAGAACCAGGACGGCAACCGAACCGCCGTGGGCATAGGCACCGCAGTAGTTAAGTAGCCTCGTAATCCAAATAAAATCTTCCCAGGTCCGGGAAGGGAAAACTGAGAGTAAAGAAATATGCCAGGTTCCGAACACGGCAAGGTAGAAGCTGAAATCGTCTACTGCGTAGCTTGAGGCTACTTCCCGGTCGCCACGTGGCTGGCGACGGAGTTCTTCAAGTCCGACGCTCCCGGCGACGTCGCCATCAAGATGACGCCCTCCGACCGCGGACGTCTGGAAGTCTACTTGGACGGCGATGTCATTTTCGACCGGAAGACTGACGGTGGCTTCCCCGACCTCGGCAAGGTCAACGAACTCAAGATGGCCATCGCTGAAAAGCTCTTCGATCTCGAAGATGCTTAGCCCTAGGCTCCTGTTGGCAGTAAAAACGCCTCCTCCCGCCGGAGTCCAGCATGGCTGATCCGCAACACGTGGCCTTAGTCCGCCAGGGCGCCGAGGCCATCGCCCTGTGGCGCGTCGAGAATCCCGACACTCCATTGGATCTCAGTGGAGCAGACCTCAGCGGTGTCGACCTTCAGCGCGTCCGCCTGGATCACGCAGACCTCTCCAGCGCTAACCTGGCCGATGCCCGCCTGACTCAGGCAGGCCTCCCGGCGGTCAACCTCGCTGGCGCCAACCTGGAACGCGCCGACCTAGGCCGGGCATCTCTTTCCGGCGCCAACCTCTCCGGGGCAGACCTCACCAATGTGAACCTGTTCTGGGCCGACCTGAAGGGCGCAAACCTCGAAGGGGCGATCGTCCGGCACTGCCGCATGAACCGGGCCAACCTCATCGGCGCCAACCTGAACGGCACCGACTTCAGCCAGTCCAACATGATCGAGGCCGACCTGCGCAACGCCGACCTGACCGACGCCGTGTTCGTCTCCACCAACATGAACGGCGCCGACCTGTCCAGGTGCAGCATGAGCGGCGCCGACTTCACCCGCGCCATGATCCGCGACTCAATGTGGATCGCCGCCAACATGACCGGCGCCAATTTCGACCAGGCCAGCCTCCACCGATCCGATTTCACCCTCGCCAAGTGGGACGACACCACCACCTTCCCCAAGGGCTTTGACCCCAACAACATCGAGTTCCTCGACGTCGGCGTCTAGGCTGGACAAGGCAGGGGTGAAATAGCCTGAAATGCCCGCCATCCTCATAACCGGTCCCTCACGCTCCGGCAGGACCAGCCTCGCCGCGGGCATTCTGACGCACCTGCGCAACGCCGGCCGCACTGCTGCCTACGCCAAGCCGTTTTCGCCATCCACCGGCTCCGACTCCGACCAAAGGTTCGCGGCGGACGTGCTCGCTAACGCACTGGGCATCACCGTCGGCCCTGCGCCATCGTCCCTTACCGGCGCCACTGGCGACGCGGCCGCATCCATTTCCGGGTTGAGCAATCAGGCAGAAACCGTCATCGTCGAAGCCACCAGCGGCTCTCCGGCAGAGAATCTAGCCGCTGCCATCGACGCTCGGGTTATCGAAATCCACCATTACACCCCCGGCCAGGACTGGGCCCAGACCGTCGACGCAGCCGCAGTCCGCTGGGGCGCACGTCTGCTGTCTCTCGTGGTCAACGCCGTGCCCCCCTACAAGCTGGATGCAATAGCTGTCTCCGCGGCTGAATCATCGGCAGATGTGAATGCCGTGGTCATCCCCGAGAGCCGAGTTATGCTCGCCCCAACAGTGGCCCAGGTCGCCGACCATCTCGGCGCCTCATGGGTGCAGGACCCCGTCAACGCCGACGCCCCCATCGAACGTTTTCCTCATCGGGGGAAACATAATGGACCACGGCCCCACCTACTACGGCCGTTACGCCAACCAGGCCGTCATCACCCGTGCCCAGCGCCCCGATATCCAGCTCGCCAGCATGCTGGCCCAGACTCGCTGCCTCGTCTTGACCGGTCCCGGCGAAGCCACCAACTACATCAGGGCCGAAGCCCTCGAGCGCGACATACCCCTCCTCCAGGTCTCCACCTCCACCATCGAGACCGCCGATGCCCTCGATCGCCTGATCGACACCTCCACGACCCACAGCTTGGCCAAGGCGCGCCAATTCGCCGCCCTGCTCGAGCAGCGCGCGGGAACCGGTATCCTCGACGGCTGGCTATCCTGACCAGTCCAATTACGCCATCTCCACCCCTGTATCCCCCTGAATCAGCCCCCTCTCGCCTCCAATCCGCATCCCGCTTTCTCAGTGCTCTACGGCCCAGAAACCACACACCCTTGACACAAACCATTCAAGCTCCGGTAACCTTGGTCCAGTGTATAGAACATATTCTCTATATACCAAGGCTGCGCAACGGCCAGCCCACCCTGCGAACACCCACCGAAATGAACGGAAATAGGCGGAAATGAGCGGATTATCAGAAAATTCAGGCCATCCCGCCACTCTGACACAACCACGTTTCAAATTAGACGATTTGACGCCGGTGCATCCGTCATTCCCGCAAAAGCGAGGATGTGAATCCACTACCACATGCTTGCTGCCCGGCAATGCAACTCCTCTTTCAGGCGGAACCTGCAAATGCCGACACGAAAGAGCAGGGAAGAATGGAAATTCTGGAATCCTCATCTCGGTAGCTGCTGTCACGGCATCTTCCCTCAGGGTGCCCTGCACGGATAGCGAGATCCCCTTTTGAGACTCGGGTTCGTGGGCAAATGCACACCATAGCACAAGATTGCACACTTTCCGGGGGTACTAAGTCCGGTGCCATCCCAAAATGAGACGCCCCTCCGGCGCGTTGTCGGCACAGACTCTGCCTTCGGACTGGTCCGGAGCCAGGGCGCACGGATGGTGAATTCCACAAAGCCTAACATTCTCGGTCCGATGCCCCGACCCGCCGACTGTGAGATTGCCGAACTATCTGTTCTGTAACATTCGAGGCTGTCGCTGTCCGCACGGAGAAGGGTATCTGGCTACACAGCCGTCCACTGTACCTGTGATATAATCCACCCCGAATTATTCGCATCCACACTCGCGGGAGAGCGCGCATGGACTTGGGACTTCAGGATAAAGTTGCCATCATCACCGGCGGCAGCGACGGCATCGGAAAAGCGGCAGCCCTCAGCATGGCCAAGGAAGGCGCAGCAGTCGTCATCGTAGCTCGTCGGCAGGACATTCTCGATCAGGCCGAGCAGGAAATCCTGACCGCCACCGAAGGCCGGGTGCTCTCCATCTCCTCCGACGTGATGGAACCCGACTCTGCCAGGAACATAGTGCAGACCACTCTGGACAAGTTCGGGCGAGTCGACATTCTGGTCAACAACGCTGGCCAGTCCATGGCCAAGGCGTTCGAAGACGTTTCGCAGGAAGACTGGGAGTACGACTTCGAGTTAAAGGTCTGGGGAGCCGTGCGGCTCATCCAGGAGTCCATACCCGAAATGCGCAAGGTCGGCGGGGGGCGCGTTATCAACGTCACAAACTTGGGCGGGCGCACTCCCGGACCCTCGTCCATGCCCACCTCCATTTCCCGCGCCGCCGGCATCGCCATCACCAAGGGCCTCTCAAAGGACTTGGCTGGCGACAATATCTTGGTCTCAACTGTGTGCATCGGGCTGATCAAGTCCGGACAGCACCAGCGCCGCTACGACGTCCGTGTCCAGTCCGAGCCCGACCTCACCGTCGACGCCTTCTACGACCAGCTGGCCTCCGGACGGGTACCCCTTGGCCGCGTGGGCGAGCCCGAAGAGGCCGGCGACGTTATCGCCTTCCTCGCCTCGGAGCGCGCCAGCTACCTGACCGGCATCGCAGTCAACCTCGACGGCGGAGTCTCCGCGGTCGTGTAGGTTCCCACTCTCTGAGCGGAACGGGCGCCCCCTCATTCAGAGGGGCATGAGCTAATAGAGAATAGAGGGGCGCACGATCGTGCGCCCCTAAAGTTGCGAGAAACAAGACAGGTTCAATCTGCCCAATGACCACCAAGCCATTGGTCTGACTACTGGAGGCAAGCGTGACCGCTTCATACCTTTCCGAACTGCAACCCAGCACTCGTCTGCTCTTGGGCCCCGGCCCCAGTTCAGTGCATCCCCGCGTGCTACAGGCAATGACTCTCCCGGTGATGGGGCACCTCGACCCCGACTTCTTCCAGGTGATGAACGAAATAGGCGATATGTTGCGCGAGGTCTATCACACCGCCAACGTGATGACCATGCCAGTCTCCGCCACCGGCACTGGCGCCATGGAGGCCGCCTGCGTCAATATCCTCGAACCCGGGGACCTTCGTAATCTGCCGCAATGGTTATTTCGGCATCCGTCTTGGCAACATCGCCCAGCGCTGCGGCGCGATAGTCCACGAGGTCGACTCGCCTTGGGGCCAGCCCGTCGACCCCCAGGCCCTCAGCGACGAGCTCGCCAAGCATTCCCGGGTGAAGGCTGTCGGTGTGGTCCACGCCGAGACCTCCACCGGTGTGCTGACCCCGATGCCCGAGATCATTGACGTCATTCATCGCCACGGCGCCATCTCCATTGTGGACGCCGTGACCTCCCTTGGCGGCCACGACATGCAGGTGGACGAATGGGGCATCGACGTCTGTTACAGCGGCACCCAGAAGTGTCTCGGCGCCCCTCCAGGCCTCGCCCCCATCACCCTCAGCGAGTCCGCCATGCAGGTCGTCAAGGCCCGTGAGACCCCGGTCCAGAGCTTCTATTTCAACCTGCAGGATCTCGAAAGCTATTGGGGCCAAAGCCGCAGCTACCACCACACCGCCCCCATCTCCATGACCTACGCCCTCCGCGAGGCGCTGCGGATGATGATGGAGGAGGGCATCGAGAAACGCATAGACCGGCACGCCCGGGTGGCCGCCGCCCTGCGCGCCGGCTTGGAGGCCCTGGGGCTGGATCTGCTGGCCAATCCGGAGCACCGGCTCAACCCCCTGACCACGGTCGGGATCCCCGAGGGCATAGACGACTCGCAGGTCAGGTCAACGCTGCTCAACGAATACGGCATAGAAATCGGAGGCGGCTTGGGCGAGTTTCGCGGGAAGGCTTGGCGCATCGGCCTGATGGGCGACTCCGCCCGGGACCGCAATGTGCTCGCCCTCCTGTCGGCCTTGGAGCAGATCCTGAACGCTAACGGTTACGAGGTTGCCTACGGTTCGAGTCTGGCTGCCGCCCAAAAAGCCCTCGCCGCCGCGTCCCCTGCATCTGGCTAGCCCGCGCCTCTTCCAGGTCCATCTGTAGCGGTGCCTGGGCTGGGAGCCTGGGTCCGGGGAGTTGAGCTTCGCTCTCCCCGACCGGGCGACGTCTCCTCCAGCCTGTACGCCTCATCCAGGATGTCAACTACGTGGCGCACCGCTATATCGTGCCCAGCGGTGGCCAGGCCTTGCTGCAACTGCAGCATGCAGCCGGGATTTGCCGTGATGGCCTCCTCGGCCTCCGTCTCAATGATCGCCTCTACCTTCCGGCTCAGTATCCGCCGGGATAGCAGCGGTTGCACTGCCGAGTAAATCCCGGCGCCGCCGCAGCACATGGATGGATTTTCCATCTCCTGTAGCCGCACGCCGGTGATTGACTGCAACAGGGTACGGGGAGCAGCGGTGATCCGCTGGGCATGCGCCAGGTGACAGGGATCCTGGTAGGTTATCTGCCGGTCAATGTGGGCCGTCGGCCTCCTAAACGGAAGCTCCAGCAGCAGCTCTGTAATATCTCTGGTCATCTCGCCGGCTTGGCGCGCCTTCTCGGCGTATTCGGGATCGTCCTTCAGCAGATCGTGGTATTCCTTCATGCTGGAGCCGCAGCCAGCAGAGCAGGTTACGATGCGGTCCGCACCCGTGGCGAGGAAGGAGTCGATGTTGCGGCGAGCCATCTTACGCCCAGTCTCCAGGTCGCCGGCGTGCAGGTTCAGGGCCCCGCAGCACCCCTGCTTGCGCGGAACAGTAACCTCGCAGCCATTCCGGGTCAGGACCCGCACAGTGGCGTTCATTGTGTCGGCCTGCATCAGCGGCATTACGCATCCCGACAGCAACGCGACCTTCAAACGCGGTTCCTCATCCCTGGGACGGTGGCTGCGGCGCGAGGGCCCAAAGAACCGCCCACTCATGCGTGGCAGCTGCGATTCCAGTTCCGCAAGGTTGCGAGGCAGCAGGCGGAGCAGCCGTGTCTTGCGAAAGCAGGCTCTGCACTCCCAGGTGCTGGTAGAGCCGCAACATGCTCGCACCCAGGCGCATCAGGCCCGGACGCGGCAACATCCCTCGTAAGAACCACCGGGTCATTCGCTTTATGCCATCAGACTGTTGACCTCTCGCCCTCACCTGTGCTCGGGTGCGTTCCATCATCCGCCCGTAAGGAACGCCCGACGGGCATACCGCTTCACAAGCACGACAGTTCAGGCAGGCTTCCCAACGAGAAACAATGCGATCGCTGATGCCAACCCGCCCCTCGTTGACCGCCTTCATCAGGGCGATCCGGCCACGAGGCGACTCCATCTCCAGCCCCGTCACGCCATACGTTGGGCAGGCGCTCAGGCACAGCCCGCAATGAACACAACGGTACATGTCAGCTTCAGCCGGAGCATCAATCTCGGAGAACCCCGCGAACAGCGCACTCAGCGAGGGCTGGGTTGAAGGCTCAGTCGCTCTCTCGCCAGCCACCGAATATTCCTCAGGCAGGTCGGCAGCTGCAGGCACATCGGGCAGTACGCTTTTCCCCGCTGTTGTCGGTCATCACAGCCGCCCTAGGAAGCGGCCGCGGTTCAGCAGGTGTTTAGGATCGAGTTGGTCCTTGATTCGCCGCATAAGGTCCATGGTCCCAGGCTCCTCTCCCCACACGTCAAGATTCACCTTGATGGATGGATGACAGATCTCAATCACCACCGAAGCGCCATGCTGCCTGGCAACCATCCTTACATCGTCTATGGCTCGCCTGATTCCCTCTTCCTCCGACTCACCCCAGAACAGTAGCCGAACAGTTCCGAACCCTGGGTCCGCCAGCATTTCAGACGGCGTCTCCAGCAGGCCGATTCGCAGGCACGCCTCCGCGAGTGTGGGTATGATCCGCCGAGGCGCCGTAAGTTTGAAAGCCAGCACCGGCTGCGAATCCTCCTGCCAGCCCAGGTCTGCAGCCCACTGCCGCGCCGCCTGTGGCCCCTCACCCTCGACGGCAAGTGCATCTATGGCACCGGCGTTCAGCAGCGCTGCCGATGTATCCTCCACTCGCCGTTGCACTGCCTCTGAGCGCCCCGCAAAGAAGCTGAGCCCAAAGACCTCCCATCCTCTCTCCCAAAGCCTGACCCAGCGGTGAACCGGGATGGGCAGCGACGAAATGCCGGGCCAGCCCACCGGTGACCGCCAAGTAGCTCATCGGTCCCGATGACAGGTTCAGCGCGTCCCACCCGGCCTGCACGGCCTCCTCCATCGTATCGAACGGCGCAACCAGCGCGTATTCCTCTGGCTGTAATGGCGACACCTTGAACGAGGCTTCCACAATCACGGCCAACGTACCCAGTGAACCTGTGTACAGCCTGTTCAGGTCGTAGCCTGTCACGTTCTTGACCACCCTCCCTCCGGCCTTGGTGGCCACACCGTCTGCCCCCACAACGCCGATTCCGATAAGCCAATCTCTCGGGGGCCCATATGCGTGGGCCATCGGACCCGAATAGGCGGTTGCCAGCGTGCCTCCTACGGTTGCCCGCCCCGGCAGAGGCGATTCCAGCGGTACGAATTGTCGTGCCGAACCCAGTTCCCGCTGCAGAGCCTCCAGGGTAATACCTGCTTCAACGGTGGCCGTCATATCTCCCGGTTGGTAATCAATGACCCGATTGAGGCGCGAAAGGTCCAGCACCAGTCCAACGCTTTCGGGTGGGTTGCCAAGGGCTGTCTTGGTGCCACCCCCACGGGGAAATACGGGAACCCCGTACTCAGCGGCCCAACTCATCACGTCGGCAACCTGTTTCCGGTCCTCAGGGACCACCACGGCCATCGGGCTCAGCCCATCGATGGCATACTCGGAATGCACGTACGAGGGTGGAAGTGACGCTCGTGGCACAATCCGGCTCAGCTCATCAGCATAAGGTGTGGTCAACGGTTACTCCGGCGACATATTGATATCACGGATTGACTGTATCCGGCAGGAGCGTTACTGCAAACGCTGCACAAGTCTGAAATAGCTAGGCGTACATACCAGGAACGGGGCGATGAGCAGCAGCGTGGTGGCGGTGTCCGTCCGGAAAGATCTTGCCGGGATTGATGTTGTTGCGCGGGGCGAAGGCATCACGGACGCCGCGCATCACTGCCATATCCTCTGAAGTGTAGACCAGAGGCATCTGTTCCTTCTTTTCAAGCCCGACCCCGTGCTCTCCAGTCAGCGTCCCGCCGGCAGCGACGCAGACTTCCAGCACCTCTGCCCCTGCTACCGTAATCCTCTCCAATGCTCCAGGTTCCCGCTCGTCGAAAAGCAGGCAGGGATGCAGGTTGCCGTCACCTGCGTGGAATACATTGGCGATGGTAACCCCGTGCTTCCTACCGACTTCAGCCACCCGCTGCAAAACAGGGGCCAGCTGCGTCCGCGGTACGACTCCATCGACCAAGTAGTAGTTTGGAGCCAGGCTGCCCAGGGCCCCAAGTGCCCCCTTGCGTCCCTTCCACAGCTGCTCCCGCTCGGCGGCCTCGGCGGCAAAGCGCACTTGGCTGGCGCCCGTGTCCCAAAGAGCGGCCTCTACTTCCAGCCCGATCTCGTCGACCTCCTCGTTCAATCCTTCCAGCTCTATCAATAGCACCGCCCCGGCGTCGTCAGGATATCCGGCGTCCGACACGTTCTGTACAGCTCGTATGCTGAGGGCGTCGATCATCTCCAAATGCAGCGGGCACTATCCCATGCCCAATGATGGCAGATACTGCGGTGCAGGCGGACTCAACATCCAGGAAAATTCCCAAATAGGTCTTGACTGCCTCTGGAATCGGAAGGATCCGCACCATTATCCGGGTAGCAATACCGAATGTTCCCTCCGAGCCAGTAAACACACCCCTGAGGTCGTAGCCTGGCGTCTCGCGCGCCATGCTCCCCAAGGAAACCATGCTGCCATCCTCCAGAACCACCTCCATTCCCAGAACGTGGTTAGTTGTAGTCCCGTAGGCGAGGCAGTGGGGACCTCCGGCGTTCTCCGCGATGTTGCCTCCCAAGCTGCAGGCCCGCTGGCTGGGGACGGGTCGGGTGCATAACGCATGCCAAACCGCCGGACGTATGTGTCTAGATCGAGGTTGATGACCCCCGGTTCCACGACGGCGTGTCGGTTATCCCGGTTCACCTCAAGAATCCGGTTCATCCTCGTGAAGGCGATCTGAATCCCATCCGGATGCGATATTGCGCCGCCGCTGAGTCCCGTCCCGGACCCACGTCCTACCACCGGCACTCCAGCGTCCCACGCCAGGGCCATAACGCGGCTGACCTCGTGGGTGTTCAGCGGGAACACAACGGCGTTGGGCATTCCGCGATCTATCGAGCCGTCATATTCGAAAACCAAAAGGTCGTCGGGATGAAAGACGACATTCGCCGAGCCGACTATCTGTTGAAGACGGCCCACAAATTCCCGAACTCCGAAGGCGGCTAGCCCACCTCCTGGCCGGGTCCCCACGTTGTTTGCTGTACTCAATCCCAGTCCCGCCGAAGAGTCTCATCCCAAGAAAGGAATTCCCGACGCTATTTATTTCGGAAGGGTCAATCGCACAGTTGCGTCGGGGCCATTGCCTTTAACGATACTTCCTGTTTCGGATGATAGTCCCTACCCAGACGCTAGGCAAGCACGGGAGACCTGTGTCCGATTTTCAAGTCGACCCGCTTGACACGCCCGCGATCCCTAGCCTATCCTCGATGGCAACAAACGAATACGAAGAAAAGGCTGTGAAGGGGAGTAGTAAGCTTCCAGCAGGGCAAAAAGCGAGCCGGGTATGGTGAAAGCCGGCGCCCAGTGCAGAAGTGCGAATGGACCCCGGAGCTGCAGGCCGAACTCCCACCAGGAGATAGGCTGAGCCGGTTAGGGCACCGTTAAAGGCCCGCGGCATGGGACCAACTAGACTACTGGTCCCCCCGCCGGTTGAGATTCCGGACGCTGTTGTCTATGTGCCAGAGCAGCGAAGCGCCATGCGACCTTGGTGCGCCGGAGAATGAAGGGTGGTAACGCGATGCAGACTCGTCCCTTGATGGACGGGTCTTTTTGTTTGGAGCGCGATATGTATTACCCAACCCTGCAGCAGGTCAAGGCGCGGGCCAGGGAGGGTAACCTGGTGCCGGTATACCGCTCAATCCACGCCGACCTCGAGACGCCCGTGTCGGCCTATCTGAAGGTGGCTCAAGGCCCCTATTCCTACCTGCTGGAGAGCGTGGAGGGTGGTGAGCGCCTGGGTAGATACAGTTTCATCGGTACGAGCCCCTACAAAGTTATCACCACTGGCCCCGGGGAACCCGCTGGCGAAATCGATCCCTTAACGCTGGTGGAAGAGGAAATGGCGCGGCACAAGCTCATAGCCGTCGACGGCCTGCCCGGTTTCCACGGCGGTGCGGTGGGCTACGTTGCCTACGACGCCATCCGTTACTTCGAGCCGCGGGTGCCGGTGATGCCCGCCGACCCTCAGAACGTGCCAGAATCGGTGTTCATGTTCGGCGAGACAATCCTTATATTCGATCACCTGCGCCACGACATCAAGGTGGTTTCCCATGCCAGGCTGGAAGGCGATGTGGAGCAGGCATACAACGATGCCGTGGCCCGCATTGAGGAGATGGTCCGCTTGCTGTCCCAACCTCTGGCCCTGCCCGAGGAGTTACAACAGGGCGCAGCCGTTCCGCCCAGTCCCATCGAGTCCAACTTTACGCCCGACCAATACGCGGACGCTATCGAGAAGTGCGTGGAGTATGTCTACGCAGGCGACATAATCCAGGTCGTTAACTCCCAACGGTTCTCCCGTCGGACGGGTGCCCATCCGTTCCAGATCTACCGTGCCCTCCGGAGCGTCAATCCTTCACCCTACATGTATTATCTGGACCTGGATGGCTTTCAGATCGTCGGCGCTGCCATCGAGTCCGTGGTCAAGGTGGAAGACGGAATCGCCTCAACCCATCCCATAGCCGGCACTCGCCCCCGGGGCGCTACGCCTGGCGAGGACGAGGCCAACGAGGCCGAGCTGAAAGGCAGCGAAAAGCAACGGGCCGAACACGTCATGCTGCTCGACCTAGGCCGAAATGACATTGGCCGGGTCAGTTACCCCGGCACCGTGGAAGTGACCAAGATGATGGAGGTCGAGCGCTTCTCTCACGTGATGCATTTGGTCTCCCACGTCGAGGGGAGACTCCGCAAGGAACTGACACCCTACGACGCTTTGCGCTCATGCTTCCCCGCAGGCACCGTCTCCGGCGCACCCAAGATCAGGGCCATGGAGATCATTGCGGAAGTCGAGGGCGAAAAGCGCGGCCCTTACGGCGGAGCCGTGGGATATTTCAGTTACTCGGGCAACATGGACACCGCCCTAGTTCTACGCACCGGCATCTACAAGGACGGCACCATGTACGTGCAGGCTGGCGGAGGCATCGTAGCCGACAGCGTGGCCGAGGACGAGTATCAAGAGACCCCGCCACAAGTCCGGTGCGTTGATGCGGGCCATCGACATGGCAGAGGCGGGGTTCTGATCGCAAGCTGGACCACCGCCACCCCAACCAGTCAGGAGGAGAGTCATGCTGAAGTCGTTCTTTCACACCGGGTTCGTAGTCCAGAACATCGAGGAGTCAGTTCGGTTTTACTCGGAAATCCTCGGAATGCGCATCGCCGGCCGCACCGAGCGCCAGGGTGAGTTCGTCGAGCAGGTTCTGGCCTTCCCGGGGGCCCACATCAAGGGCGGCTTCGTCGACATGGGCGAGGGGCATCAGCTGGAGCTGATCCAGTACCTGTCCCCACAGAGCGGTTCCAACAGCACCGAGCGCAACGACCTGGGAGCGGCGCATCTGGCCTTCTTCGTTGAGGACCTAGACACTTTCTATGCCGACACCAGCGAGAAGGGCCTGCGTTACAACAACCCACCCGCATCGATGTTCGATGAGAACGGCAAGCTGTCCCGCAAGGCCTGCTACGCCCAGGATCCCGACGGCAATTGGTTGGAGTTCGTCGAGCTGTTCTGACGCTATTAGATCCCCATCCAACGCCAAAAGTGCCGCGAGGACACCATGCTGCTGCTGATCGACAACTACGACAGCTTTACTTACAACCTTTATCAGTATCTGACCGAGCTGGGTGCTGAAGTAGACACGCACCGCAACGACAAGATCACCCTGAACGATATCGAAGACCTGGCCCCCGACGGCATCGTGATCTCGCCCGGCCCCTGCACCCCAATGGAAGCGGGAATCTCCAATGACGTGATCCGCCGTTTCGGGCCCACGGTCCCGACGCTGGGTGTGTGCTTGGGACACCAGTGCATAGGCTACGTCTACGGCGCCAGGGTCGACAGGGCAGGCGAAATCCGCCACGGCAAGACATCAATGATTCACCACAACGGTGCGGGGGTTCTCAGCGGTCTCCCGGATCCCTTCGAAGCCATCCGCTACCACTCGCTCGTGGTCTACCCGGAAACTGTCCCCGACACGTTGGAGGTCACCGCCCGTTCCGAAAACGGCCTGATTATGGGCATCCGGCACAAGGAACACCCGGTGGAGGGTATACAGTTCCACCCAGAGTCCATAATGACCCCCGACGGCAAAGCTCTGCTACAGAATTACCTAAACCAGGTGTCTGCGCACAATAGAACGGAGTTGTCATGAAGGCCAAGGAGGTAATACTGGAGCTGATCAACAGCCTGCCAGACGCTACTACCTACGCCGAGCCCTTCGACCGGCTCCGCCCACTGTACTACCGCGATGTGGCTCCCATCATCGCACAGTACGACCAGCCACCACGACCACTGGGCACGTGGCGCCGTGACATCACCGGGTCCGTGGAGGCTCAGGAACAGACGAATATCTGGACATCAAGGGACGCGATTCTGGGAATAGTTGAGTTCCTGCCTTCGGATGCCAGCCCCGCTGAAGCAGTAGACGAAGCCATGTACAGGCTTGTACTTTCCTACAGCTATGAGAAAGCCATCAAGCAAACTGCAGAAGACAAGGGGATTCCGCACGAGGATGTGAGGCAACAGCTGGCCCTATGGCGGGCTTAAATCTGATGCAATTCCTTGGCTTGGAGAAGAGCGGCACTTAGGTTCCACTACGAAAGTTCACTATTTTTACGGAGCAACTAACCTTGGACATTCGCGAAGGAATAGACCTGCTCGTTTCTGGGCAGTCACTGACTATGGAGCAGGCTGCATTGGCAATGCGGCAGATCATGCAGGGCGAGGCAACCCCGGCCCAGCTAGGCTCCTTCCTTACCGCGCTGCGACTCAAAGGCGAGTCCACCGAGGAAATCGCAGGCATGGCCACAGTCATGCGCGAGTTCTCCCTCAAGGTTCACGTTGAAGGAACTGTTGTGGATTCCGTCGGCACTGGGGGAGATGGCTCCGACTCGTTCAACATTTCCACTGCCGCCGCGCTGGTGGCAGCGGGCGCCGGTGTTCGCATCGCCAAGCATGGCAACCGCGCAGCCTCAGGACGCTGCGGCGCCGCCGATGTCCTGGAGGCCCTCGGAGTGCGAATCGAACTGGCACCCGAAGGCGTGGAACGCTGCATCAACGAGGGTGGCATCGGTTTCATGTTCGCCCAAGCCTTCCACCCCTCAATGCGCTACGCCGGTCCGGTACGCCGCGAGATAGGCATCCGCACCGTCTTCAACATCCTCGGCCCGTTAACCAACCCTGCGGCCGCCCAGCGCCAGCTCATCGGCGTTGCCTTCCCTCAGCTCGGCGAGAAAATGGCCGAGGTGATGCGGCTCCTCGGCTCGGAGCGGACCCTGGTGGTCCACGGGAAGGGCGGCCTCGACGAGATCGCCCTGGACGGCGACACTACAATCTGGGAACTCCACGATGGAGAGGTGGAGAACTGGACGTTCCGTCCCGACGCCACAGGTCTCGGACGCTGGGGCATAGAAGACCTGCGCGGTGGAGACCGAGAGGCTAACGCAAAAGACCATGCACAATTTGCTGAACGGCACGGGCGGCCCCATCCGCGACGCAGTGCTGCTTAATACCGCCGGAGTCTTGCTCGCCGCCGGCGAGGCAAATAGTATCCCCGAAGGCATACATACCGCCGCCCAGGCCATCGACAACGGCGCCGCCCGCCAGCGCCTTGAAGCCCTTGTTGAGTTGAGCCAGTCTCACAACGGGGAATAACCAGCGATGAGTGGGATGTATTACACTAACGTCGAAAACTCAGAATCGACGGTGCCCTGATATGCCCAGCATTCTTGACGACATCGTAGCGGCCAAGCGGCTTGAACTTGCCGAGGCTATGCAGGCAGTGTCTTACGCCGATGTAGAGCATGCAGCAGCAGAGCAGCCGCGCCCACTGAACTTGTCCGGCGCCCTCACGAGCGGCGGCATCCGGCTGATTGCCGAGGTGAAAAAGGCCTCGCCATCCCGGGGCCTGCTTTCCCCCAACTTCGACCCAGTGCATCTCGCCCATACCTACGTGTCCAATGGCGCCGCTGCCATCTCCTGCCTCACCGACCCGCGATTCCAAGGTGAGCTTGCCCACCTTTCGTCCATCAAGCAGTCCGGCGCATCGGGGCGAGCCCCCGTTATACGCAAGGACTTCATATTCGACCCATACCAAGTCTACGAAGCTCGCGCCGCGGTGCCGACGGCATCCTCCTGATCGTTGCCATCCTGAACCCCTACCAGATGAAGGAACTGCTGGAAACGGCACAGTCCCTCTGGATGCAGTGCCTCGTAGAAGTCCACGACGAGGCCGAACTGGAAACGGCGGTTGAGGTGGGAGCCGAGATCATCGGCATCAACAACCGCGACCTTCACACTTTCACCACCGACTTGGCTGTCACCCAGCGCCTGGCCCCATTGGTTCCCCGCGGCAAGGTGCTGGTCAGCGAGAGCGGCATATTCACCCGCGACGACCTACGACTCCTCAGCCGTTCCCGCGTCAACGCGGTGCTCGTCGGCGAGGCCCTTGTCACCGCCCCCGACGTGGGCGCCAAGGTGCGTGAACTCACCGGCCAGCGCCAAACCGGCAGCGTCCTCTCAGGGTCCGGCATGATCCGGGTCAAGATCTGCGGCATTGGCACACCGGAGGACGCATGCGTGGCTGCAGAGGCTGGGGCCGACTTCATAGGCATGGTCTTCGTCCCTGAGCGCCACCGTCGCATAGCCCCTGACGCCGCGAAAGAAATCGTCGCCGCCGTGCGCGAGCTGGACGGACCATCCCCTCAAATGGTCGGACTGTTTGCCGACCAGTCGCTGGAGGAAGTTAACGACACCGTCGCCCACTGTGGTCTCGATGCCGTGCAGCTCTGCGGCAAAGAGAGCGTTGAATACACCGCAGCCGTGGACTGTCAGGTCATCAAAGTAGTTCACGTGCCAGCGTCCTACCGGGCACCCGACGACGTTCCGCAACTCGCTGAACGCGTTGCTCAATATGCCGACGACGGTTGCCTGGTAACGCTTGACCGGCTGGTGGAAGGCATTCAGGGCGGCACCGGTCAGAGCTTTAACCTTGACGTGGCCGCATCGCTGGCCCACCGCGGAGGTGACTTCCTGCTGGCCGGAGGACTCACCCCTGCCAACGTGGGACGGATCATCAGTGCCGTCCGGGCCCTGGGGTGTCGACGTATCCAGCGGCATCGAGACCCTTGGCAAGAAGGACCGCCGCAAAATTCAGCGGTTCATCAGCAACGCCAGAGATACCGACGCCGCCCTCACCGGCTTGGTCTAGCCGCCAGAGGGAAATCGGAATACAACTAGACGGATGGAGAACGATGGCAACTATCCCCACGGCAGTCTTCCCCGACGAGCGGGGACGCTTCGGCGACTACGGCGGCAAGTTCATTCCCGAGACCCTGATGGCGGCGGTTGCCGAGCTGGAAGAGGCTTACAACACCGTAAAGGCTGACGAGGACTTCCAGGCACGCCTCGTCGACCTGCTTAGTTCCTATGTCGGCCGCCCCACCCCCCTCTACTTCGCCGAAAATCTGACGCGCCACCTGGGCGGGGCCAAGATCTATCTCAAACGCGAGGACCTCGCTCACACCGGCGCCCACAAGATCAACAATGCCCTCGGACAGGCACTCTTGGCCCAGCACATGGGCAAGCGGCGCATCATCGCCGAGACCGGCGCTGGCCAGCACGGCGTCGCCGCGGCCACCGCCTGCGCCATGCTGGGGCTGCAGTGCATCGTCTACATGGGCGAGGAAGACATCCGCCGACAGTCCCTCAATGTGTTCCGAATGCGCCTGCTGGAGGCCGAGGTTATCAGCGTCGAGTCGGGGACCCGGACGCTGAAGGACGCCATCAACGAGGCCATCCGCGACTGGGTCACCAACGTGGAAACCACCCACTACCTCATCGGCAGCGTGGTGGGCCCGCACCCCTACCCGGTGATGGTGCGAGACTTCCAGTGCGTCATCGGCCGGGAGGCCCGGGCGCAGATCCTGCAGGCCGAAGGTCGCCTGCCCGACTATGTGATGGCCTGCGTCGGAGGCGGAAGCAACGCCATTGGCACCTTCCACCCCTTTGTGCCCGACGAGGATGTCCGGCTGGTGGGGCTGGAGGCCGGGGGCCGGGGCCTGGACAGCGGCGAGCACTCGGCCACCCTCACCGCCGGGCGGCCCGGGGTCCTGCACGGCTCAATGACCTATCTGCTGCAGGACGAGGACGGACAGGTCAGCCCGGCCCACAGCATTTCGGCGGGGCTGGACTATCCCGGCGTGGGCCCGGAGCATAGCTACCTCAAGGACTCAGGCCGCGCCGAATACAGTGAGGTCACCGACCCGCAGGCCCTGGAGGCCTTCCACCTCCTCTGCCGCACCGAGGGCATCATCCCGGCGCTGGAGTCGGCCCACGCCATCTATGGCGCCGCAGACCTGGCCCCAAAGCTTCCCCAAGACAGCATCATACTCGTTTGCCTCAGCGGCCGCGGTGACAAGGACATTGGAATAGTAGCCGAAGCTGAAAACATCGACCTTTAGTCTCACTTGAGCCCGAGGCAGTCACGTTTCAGCAGAATCTGGCTGCGCAGCGGTACTCCATCACCACAGACAAGGTCATCACGGTTTGATTTTGTTCTGAGCCGGGTCTGAATGTTCAAATTGTGCGGGCGCACCATCTGGCTGACCGGGGTGGCTGGTGTATATACCGGACTTTCGCGTGGGAATTCTGGGACGCAAAACCTGGCCTAAATTCCCATTTTGTCCCATTCCGTCCCATTTTTGCCGTTTTTCTTGGTCCGTCAGCTACGAAATTGGCTGCCGGGAACAAAAATCCGGATTCCCGCACCATTCTGTCCCATTTTGTCCCACTGGGTTTGTCCGACCAGGCGCCGTCGCCTCCGAGGTGCTGGGAAAGGCGTATGTCGGGGATCGGGCACAGGAATCATGGTAGGGATGCGTCATGAGGCTTGGCAAGGAGCAAGTGTCATAAAAAAACCCGATTCCCCTGCACCTCCGCCTTGACCACCACACTGCTGCCGCATACAATGGCGTTGTCGCCCAGTGTGGCGGCAATACTGTGTTGTGACACGAAACACAGCCCCGGAGGGTAATATGCCTATTACCAGAGATGGCGTGGAACTTACGGTTGAGATCAGCGAGAAGGCCGCCGAGAAGATCAAGTATTTCGCTCAGAAGGATGGGACGGAAGACAATGTTGGCGTCCGCGTGGCCGTCAAGGGTGGCGGTTGTTCCGGCCTGACCTACGACCTGAAGATCAGCGGCGAGCACAATGACACCGACAAGGTGGTCGAGCAGTACGGCGTGAAGGTCATCGTCGACAAGAAGAGCTACATCTATCTCGTTGGTACGCAGTTGGACTTCTCCGACGGCCTGAACGGCAAGGGTTTCGTCTTTGAAAACCCCAACGCCAAGAAGGCCTGCGGCTGCGGCACTTCGTTCAGCGTCTAGCAATGACCAGCCCGGCGGTTATCGGGTAGCGCAAGATCTATTGGACTACGCGACAACAGCGCCGTCTTCACCCGATGAAGGCGGCGCTTAATAGTTAAGACTAATTCCGTCCGAAACCAGGAGGCAAACATGGCACTACAGCAATCTTCCGCCTCAGTGCCCAAGCTGCAGGCCCAAGCCGACGGCACTCTTGTTTTCCGACTAGACTCCGGCTATGGGTGCCTGAAAGCCACTGGAGAGGACACCCTCGACCTGCTGAACCGCCTTTCCACCAACAAGGTAGACCACCTGCAGCCCGGCCACTGGGCCCCCACCGTGCTGACCAGCGACCGGGGTCGCATTGTGGACCTGCTCAGCGTCATCCACGCCGGCGAGTGCGTCTACCTGCTCACGAGCCCCGGCCAGCAACAGCCGGTCATAGAGTGGCTCGACAAGTACACCATCATGGAGGACCTGGAGGTGGAGGACGTTTCCGGCTCCACCGCCGTCATTGCACTTGCGGGTGAAGGCTGCGACGCGGCACTGAACCTTGAACCCGATGGTACTGACCGCCTGCCCGGCCTGCAGTATCCAGCGCCAACGGTCAACATAGGTGGACGAGAGGCAATTGCCATCTCACATCCGCTGGGTGATCTGCCGTGTTGTTTGCTGGTGGCGGTCTCAGATTACGCCGCGGAGATCGGCGCCTCTCTGGAATCGTCAGGAGCGTCCCAGATGGATGCCGAAGCCTGGGAAGCGCTGCGAGTCGCCAATGGCGCCCCGGCATTCGGCAGTGAGATGGGAGAGCCGTACAACCCTCTGGAAGCCGGACTGATCGGCGCGATCGACTTTACCAAGGGCTGCTACATCGGGCAGGAGGTCATCGCTCGCCTGGACAGCTACGACCGGGTCCAGAGATACCTCTCGGTCCTCCGTTTCTCAGACGGGTGCGACGTAACAGTCGGTACAGCACTGTTCCTGGAAGGAAGGCAAGCCGGCACGGTCACATCGGTCTATCGCACGCAAAGCGGCGACCTGCGGGGCCTGGGGTTCGTCCGCACCGCCTCAGCGAATGCCGGCCAGACCCTCGAGCTGCAGTCCCCAGCCTCCGGTACCGCCACGGTCGAGGAAACCCCCAAGCTCTTCGGCCCCGGCCAGGACTTCAGCTAATCGGAAGCGGACAAGATCGACAAAAATAAGAGGGATACGCAAAATGTCGCATCCCTCCGGTGCTTCTGAATAGCTGCCTGCCATGCAGACTTTAGCCTAACCGCCGTTATAGACGAACGAGACCTGCTCTCCGGAACGCTCCACGGTGAACAGCGCCCAGAAATTGTATCCTGCGGCCTCAACCGCCTCACGGCCTCCCTCATCCCGGTCAACGAGAGTCAGGGCATGGGTTACGTTATATCCTTTCTCTTCTGCATCCTGAATGGATGCAAGTAGGGAACCACCAGTAGTTACCACATCCTCGACTATGGCAACTGGTTCGCCCTTCGGCGGAAACTGCCCTTCCGCAGTCGCTGCGGTGCCGTTTTTAAATATAAAAAAAAAAAAAAAAAGAAGGACACCACATACCCAACACACCACCACATAAAAAAAGACGCCCCCACCCATAACTACCACCACCAACCCTCCACCACACCGCTGCCATTGCAGCAGCCGACGAGCGCACCTCACCACCAAAGCGGCAGCCAGTGATCGAAGTGCGCAGCACTCACCATGGCGATTGCAGCTCCCTCTCACCGCTACCCCTGGACCCAGACCCCACCGTACACCCCACTCCGCGCGAATACTCCTCGACTAGAGAAGCTGAAGGTTAACAATCAATCCAGAGACTTCGATCTGCCACCATACAGAGAGAAAGCCACTCCATACGTCACTCAACTGTCGCACCCATCACAGCCTTCTGCCTAAATGAGTGGTGACCGCTAGAGTAGAGACTGATCTCTCCTACATCTTACCATTCTATCAACACGGGAATCCCATCCCATCAAGCAACGAGTGTCAGGAGATGCCCTTCTTCTGTGCGACCCAAGAATAGCCAAGAACTACCACCCTGCAGGGACTTGCGACGTCGATTCATCATCAATCAAATCTCCATGTCCTTCCCAGTGGTGCTTGTGCGGAAGCGTGACACGGCTCACCCATGGTTTCTTGCTTGCGACTCACAGGAGACGAATGCCCAGTGAACGAACCATACACAGACCCACTCGCCCTCCGGCCACTATAGGACCTTGTATGGATCCCGCTTGGCCAGACAATTATTTCTCCAGTTTGATTTGGGCATCGGATCCTTGCAGCCACTCCGAATGCGCACCCTGGATTTCGCACGAGAGACGGGCCTTTTCCCACTAAACGAATTCCGCTGTGATGCCCGCCCTATGGCGCAGGACACGCCCCTGCCTGTATTTCAACGACTGATGCAGCAAGTCTATCTCCAGCTCAAGGACAGACCGTTTGTGCTCATTGTATATTACGACACTTTGGTGTCTTTCCACAACACTCCAAGAACATCCCTACACCATCTAAGGCGCACGTTTTGAGGAATTCTGTGACAGTCGGACCTAGCCTCAAGCCGTCGACTGCAACATTCTTCGCGGCAGCTGCTTGCAGTCCCTCGGCTCCCATACAGGTGTCCCCACGCCTAGCGGTCCAAACGAAACCAGCCCCCTTGTCTGTGCAAGGCATAGACAACACCTGTTTCCTGTGCCCCAGACAGTTCAGGAGACACGCGAGATTCCTTGGGCTTGCCCTCCTACTACTTGACCATCTAGTCCAATTTTCGCTAGGATCGCCCAACCCCTCCCTCACACCTCACTTCTGCAAAGTGTGACCGTTCCACTGGGTGCAGACCAGGAGGGGCATTCGTGGAGCTCAAGAAAAATTGACAACAGCACTCATTCAAAAAAAATTCCGGCATACTCCCGGAACCCTTCACACTGGACTTCTACCATGGAACCGACCGCAGCGGTTATGGTCTAGAGTCGTATTATGCCAGTTCTCACAGCTGACCAGAAGATCACCCCATAGCCATCACACTGCGAGTGCGGCGCCTCTCAACGCCTGCCGAGAAGAACATATGCCGTCACTGAATTGTAAACGTTGACAGTTGTGTGGGGTGTACCCTTTCCACTCACTATCTTACGGAACTCCCTCACCAATTCACTGCAACCACATCAGCCCCGGTCAGGCACGTCGTTCTGGAATCTCGACACAACCCCTGGCTAAACCCACCAGATTGTTGGACCCCATGTGTATTGCCGGGGATTGAGCGACTGTCAATCCACGTACGGGCAGCGCAAGGAGACACAACCGTAATCGGACTGCCCCTCTCCCTGCACCAATTTCTTCCTGCCCCCAAAGGTCGGTATAGCAGAAGCCTCAGTCCCAGATCTCACCAGCCTGGCCAGATGGAGCGGTATGCTGGCTCCATTAGCTCCCCCCGACCAACTCCAAGGCTAGGCCACCTCGATCCCACCATCCAAGTCAGCGTGCCACCCCACCACGAGCTTCGCGCACGACGGACTCCACGACTTCCAGCCACACTCAGCCTCTTTTCATCACCCTTCCCCGCAATCTCCTACAGTCACGACAGTTCCACCTCCGCAGGTATGCACAGATCGCAGATCTCCGCTCTCAGTACACCCACCAGAGAACGCCGGCCCACAAACGACTCACACACCCAACTACACCCCTCCAGAGTCCCCCCACCCACTCCTTCACAGGAGAGGAACGCCATTCGCCCAATCCCTCAGCCGACAGTCCACTGATATTCCATGACGAGAAGCCACGGAAGGAGGGATTACAGACTCGACAGTTTCCGGGGAATTGAGTGTCGAGCTGACCAGGTGAAGGTGGCGACGGTGAGTTGCCAAGGGTGGACAGGTAATCTCTTACCCTCATGTACCCACCTCAGGACCAGTCCCCAGGATGGAGCTACTACGCGGTAAAAACCCTCCCGACACAGATGCCATGGTGACGGAGAACACGGCTAACTGCCACCCCGAGCGGAGTTCTAGTCGTGGTGGGAGAATTTCCCCTGTCCATGGAGCATCTACCAGACTGCTGCGGATAAGATCGTCCCGACAGGAGCGACCCAATTGCGGCGTGCTACGGGCGCACAAACTTTCCTCCTCTCTACTAAGCCGCAACTCACCACACATTTGCAACCTACTATTGCGCCCGAATGTTGTAGCAGAGCAAAAGCGTGTATGACGCATAAGTGAGCTTAAGCTTTCATTCAGCTCGCGCGCTTTGCCTGATTGACCCCCCACCATAGCCACGTAAGATGGCCATAACCCCACAATCGCTGTTTGAAGTAGCTTGATGATGTCTCCCTACCTTATCACTTGATCCGAAGCGAAACTAACCGTAGGCGATCTGTGCTCCCGTCCCTCCAGAACGTTTACTCAAGTAGACCCACTCCAGGACCGTGTCGGCCCAACCAGGACATGTCCTCGGGGCAGAGGATGTTTTAACTCACGCCTGGCGACTACTGGTGGTGGAACACATATCGCAGATGCGTGCACCGGTTGCTCAGCGTGTCCACGATCAGCTGCTCAATCACGCACTGGGTGTTTGCGAAGGACTAGCCACCAATTGCACCCCATACAGTGCAGCGACCATTCCATACTCGTAGGCGAATCTGAGTCATGTGACCCTCCACGTTACAGAGAGAGGGAAACCCACATGCCGCCTCGTTTGTCAAGATCTCCTTCACGACAGTGGGCCATCTTGTGTTCCCTGTCCCCCGATCAGACAACGCCCCGAATCGCCCGTACTTCTGGCCGAGGACGCTTAGACCCATGCGTTTTGTTGGCGGTCCCCTGAGTCACATCTTTAAGCCGATCACGGACTAGACCTTCTGTCCCAAATCGATACTCGGACCTATGCCAAATGTTAGGGATCACTAAGCTTGAATACCATCCCCGCAGTGTGACGAGCGGCTGGAGCGGTTTAACCGCCCCCCTGAAACAGATTCTCCGAAACCTGCCCACAGCCCGGCTGCGGACAACAGCGGGAACCAGTTCTTGCGGAGCTGCTATGGCGTATAGAAATACCACAACCCACACCCGTCAACGGGGGAAACCCCATCGTTTCTTCTTGTTGGAACTCGACTGTACACTCTCCCACTGGCAGCCGTTACCTCCCACTATCACAGAGCCGTTGACCAAACAGATCTGAGGATTACAGACCACACCCGCGCCGAACTAATCGCCGTCCATTGGGGTCCGCCACGACAACCTTTGCCACTGACAGCCTTATTAGACCGAGCCCAACCAAAGTACCACCCACATGAAATCATCACGACCGACCAGGCCGAGGGATGACCAACCGCTAAGCGCTGGGCGCTGGTGGCCTAATATACTCTCCCTCACCTAGAAGAGCCTCAGAATCCAACCGAGCTCCTCAAACTCTCCACAAATCCCCCTGGCCAGACATTCAATCCATCTCGAGGGAGGACCCACCTCGATCCATCCCACCACTGGCATCACGAACACGGCTGTAATTTCATCCTCAACACTGACTCATATACAGTCCCACCAGAGTACGGTATTCTGTCCCCCTGCCCAGCCGAATTCCCCGCAGGACAACTCACGGGTACGGGACTTGGGAGAAGGGGCCCCAGGACGCACCCCCCGTGCTGGGTTTGACCACCAGCTTACCTCTTCTCAGGCCCAGACCGACTGTACTCCAATCAATCGGCGGGAAAACAGATCCCACCCTTTATCCAACTCCTTCGCAACACATGGACACCCGACGAAAGTGTCGCGCGGTGCCCACAACCCCCCCGGCAATGCCACCACCCTCCCCCCCACCC